CGCAGCTTTGCCCGCGCTTAAACTTTCGATTGCTACCAAACTTTACATGATCACCCGCAACAAGAGCGCGCTAGAGTTACAAATTAAATATTTTTAATTATATTTATCAAAGATAATTATCAATCTATATTTATCATGATAATTATCAATGATAATTATCGTTTCGAACCCTCATACATATGTATGACAAAATTAGCTTAAAACCAATTCCTATGAATATATTAGGCCCATATGGGAATAATATTTTTTAAATATACAAACTATCATTTTAGCTTCAAATTATTGACTATTGGTATTTTATTATGATGAAAATAAAATTATTAATTTTACCATTTCCTGTAAAAGAAATATATTTTTATTAGATTCAGCTGCGTAGTAATATATATAATAAATTACATATAAAGTGATTAATTTTATGATTAATGCTGATATCTTCTTTAGCGACTAATATTATGTTAGCGATAAAGTCGCCGCTTGTCTACGATTTTTTGACCTTTATTTAGAGTACTATGAAGTATATTTTATTCATTATCTAATAATCTCATTTGTAGACCTATACCTATAGGGAAAATAAAAATTAATTTGTTTTATTTAGTAGTGTGTTTTATTTACCGGTATCTGTAAAATAATTAAATATGTTACTACCAATATTGTAACGTTTAAAGTACTTACTTATATCTATAACTACGAGTATAAATATTACCAATTAAGGAATTGACTTATAGTAATATATTAAATGAAGATTGCAATAGAGCTATTTAGTAGGAATTTTTATTTAAATCGAAGTAATATTTTAATGTAAAGCTAGTAAATACTAAATACACAGTATAATCGCGCATTCAGCCGTCAAGTTACATATCAGTTCTTACCGAATAGCACTACAGAACCTTAGATAACAATTATTATATACATAGTACAAACAACTGAATTTGTGGAGTGATTTAAAATATTCCTTTTAAATGACTATAATTATTAAAATTTACCTTTTTCTGTTAAAAAAATATTCTTATTATTAAAAATGTACTGTTAAAATATTAATTCTTAAATAATTAAAAATTAGTTTTAAATAAAACTACCTTTTCGGATTTTTTCGCTTATTTATTTTGATTTATATTATATAGTTGTTACAAACAGCCTACCCACAAATAACAAAATGGATCAAAATGAATCTGTAACAACTATATAATACCTTAGAGACATCTAACAACTCAGTCTCTACCGTGACCATGATTGCTGCAAAGCATTCGAAACGTCGGGAGCCAAAACTCAAAATTAATTCGCGAAAAAATCCGAAAAGATAGTTTTATTTAAAATGTCAAATATTCGCGTAAATCTAAGAAAGTATTATAGAAATTAGTTTCTAACTAATTACCTGGAGCTAGAAAGAAAACCATATGTGTTTTACTCTTTGTTTTACTTTATTATTCATATAGGTAATAGGTTATTTAAATAGTTTTTTTTTTTAAATTTATACTTATAAGGGAGATTTTGTTTTATACCTTTTAAAGAAAAATACACATAATTAATAAAAAAATGTATGCTTATGATATTATGCACAATGTACCTACTGTCGGTCTTTTTAATTACAAATCACTTGAAAATGTTTGAATTAAGTTAGATAGAACTTTTATTATTGCATAGGTTAATAGTTGTGTGATAGTGTTTATCGTAGTTGTCTCAATATAAATATATAGGTATGTTTGTATGAAAGACGTTTCGATGGAAATAACTAGTATTAGATAAAATACTTACAGAGTACACTTAATACTCTTAATCTTTCTTCTACACCGTCTTTATTCTGTATAATCGCAAAATAATCTCCAAAATCAAGATTGCTGGTCCCTTCCACGTCTATTTCTAATAATTGTTGACTAAAAATAAACACTTTTATTTGATTTTCTATAATAAATAAAGCTGAATATATAATAGTATGACATCATTGTATTAACATAAAATTTATATTATCATAAAAATTAACTTACCGCTTTCGTAGCCTGAAAAATATCTTTATTAAGTACTCTTATACGTGATAAATTAAAGTGACATTTTGTAAGTCACGTAATTGATGTCTAAAGCCATCATGGCTACGCTCAGTAATTAGGTAATTTAATGCAGATTTCGAAGGACCGACTTTAAGAGTTAAATTAACGTAACGAGCTTAACGAAAAACTTTCTTTTAAATGTGAAATTTTTTAAATGAGTTAAAAAAAGTACCTGTCCGTGTAGTCCCTTAGTCTGTATCTAGATGTGTCCAGATTATAAATGCTTCCGTCTGCAGCTCGCACCATTATGCTAAGAATACGGCAGTGGTCACATTGGTATGAAATGCCTGTACTATTTGGTCTTTGACCATGTAGGACCTCCATAGACCGAGCCGAAATTTTGGCTGACGTTGGAACTAAAAGGTAAGATATATATCTATCTTATAATGTTTATAATTACTAAATAAAATTCAGTATATAATTATACACATATATATTTATTAATTTAACAATACTATTTCTTTTTCAATTTATGTAAAAAATTAAAAAATGTTTGCAAGAATGTTAGACACAAATCAACAAATATTCCGATATATAGAAATTCTTAGAAAGAAAATAGTTTTTGAGAGCTTCCTTTGGTTTTAAAACATTTAAAACTAGTAAACTAAAAACGGAGTTATCAAAAAATTTATAAATATACTGCAAAATAATTGTTCGTGTAAAACTTACGTAAATAAAGCTCATCAACCCAAGTAGGATTGGCTCCATCTTTTTTCATAGCTCTAACACGATATACTCCATAATACTTTTTCTCCCACGTTGGAAAATGATAATTTATTTTCAGGAATCGCCCGCTTGGACTAAGCTTTGCAGTATATGAATCATTATGTAGAGGAGTCTGAAGCAAAATTGTTTAATAATACAATTTAGTTATATTTTTTTAATTATTTGCACAGGTATATCGTAATTATTGTCTTTCTGTCTTATATTCAGAAATAATCTATTTATTTTATACATAATCAATATAATTTAATAGCTCTATACTCTACTACACTCTACTCTACTCTTTCTCAACTAATTCAACAAAACAAATTTTTGGCGAAGTAATACTTTTAAGTTTAATGTACGTGTACATTACATGAAATATACCTGCAATAAATTACTTACCAGCAATGAATCTTTTATAGCTCTATCCTGAAAGATATTTGATTATGCTTTTAATAAGCCTAAACCAAACATGTTGTATTTTTTTTTATTTAAAGCATTCTCTGAAAATGAAAACTTACATGCGATTCAGTGTGGTGAAATAGTACTGAATTAAATCTATATCCATCGGGTATTACTATTCTTCTCGTACTGCTCGTATAATTTTTAGCCGCTCGAGGAACGTATTCAATATGACTGTCAACTTTAAATAAAAATACGCTAATAGGTATATTTATCACAGTAAATTTAGCCAAAAAGTAAATTAATAAAATAATGTGGAAAAATATTCGAAGCGCCTAGAGTAGGTATATTTTCTTTCTTTCTACTTTCTTGTCTAGTGGTTATTATAAATTATTATTTTTCCTTTTTCGTTTTCCATTCATATGTATTAATAAAAAAAATACAGAAGCTCTTATTATGTGAGCATCTGATACAAAAACGAGAAAATAGATATCATCATAAAAAACTTACCTGGTATCGCTATAATTAATAAATATGTTAGTTTTTTGTCTAATTTAAAAATGAAAACTGACTAAGATACATAGGTATTTTAAAATTGATTGTAATGCTATATATCGTATTCTTAGCACTAAACTCTAAATCGTATTGAATTAATAAGTAAAATATACGGTACTAATAAAGTAAATAATTACTTACGTGGGACAATTTCTAGAAAATGTGTTTATAAATATTAAAAAACCAAATCAAAAAAAAAGTAAAAATGAATAATTTATGCTAATAAAAATTCAAACTTACCATCGCCTGAAATTAAATAATAGCAAACTGTATAATAAAGTAAAACTATAGTCTTATGTATTTTTAACCGACTTCAAAAAAGTTTAAAGTTTGTATATATGTATGTTTGTCGTCGCATTTCTCTGAAACTAGTAATCGGGTTGTGATCATTATTTGTCTACATTTATTTCAACTTAGGGAGTAGTAAAGATTTCATCAAAATCGGTTCAGTACTTTTTATAACATGAACTAAAACGTGTAATACGTACAAATACATCACAAATAGATGTATAATATTTTAAGTATAATTATTAAGGTTCATACTTTGTCATATTTACCTATTACATATTCATATCTTAAAATATTATCAGTCGATTTATTAAATAATCAATATTACTTTTTTATGTGAGCACATACCTAATTAATACAACAAATATAGCAAAAAGGACTTACGTTCATATTCTATAAAAAACCATAATACATATTAAGTTAATTGATAGGTAGGTAGTTTTAAAGTGAATATTAGCATAATTAATTCATTACATTGGAAATTAGTGGAATAATTCTATTTTCATTAACAATATTATAATGTGTAATTATTGATGTCACGAAACTAAAATAACTTCACGCATTACGTGGCTCTCGACAAAGTTAATGTCACGTAACTAACTTCAAGACGATGGCGACGCTAGTGTCGCAAAAGAGCATGCGCTGAGTGGACGTGTATTCCGATTCTGACGGAGTCATGATCTCAGTGTTACTACGTATTTCACGACAGTAAATAGATTACGAAACAAGTTACACGGGTATTTAAGGAGTTTCTAGAAATTATATTTATATAAAACTAGTTTTAAATGTAAGTTCAGGTTAATTATTACGCGTGTTCTCAATACTTGCGCGATTGTATCAGTGCTTTCGAGGCGATTGTTTCAACTCGAGTGACTCTGCCTCGAAAATAGTTCCGTATAATAACCTACATTCGCTAATGTCAAATCATCGCATAATATTTCTTGCCTAAACATATTTACGCGCCACAAGGTTTAATTAACACAATTCTTCTCATTTGTAAATAATAAAATGATGGCCGATGGAAGATGGGATTCCGCGACAAATATAAAATTTATTGAAGCATATAAGCAACAAGTGTGCTTGTGGGACCCTAAAAATCCTGAGTATAAAAATCGAGAACAACGCTATGTCGCCTACCGTAACATAATAGAGGCTATGGCAATTGATCTTACTGTAAAGTTTGTAATATCAAAAATACGTTCCCTTCGCAATACATACAATAATGAAATGTTAAAGTCAAAAAAATCCGTAATGAATGGAAGAAATCGGATTTATAAATCTAAAATTCCCTGGTTAGATAGTCTAGATTTTTTGAAGAATATAGACAGTTGTACAAGAACAAATACAGATGTCTTGGTAAGTGTTTAATGTTTATTAATATTTAGTGATTTTAAAATTACATTCAATTAGTGTTTGTAATGTGTCGTCATAAAGTTCTCATTAGCGCATTGGTGTTAATTACGAATATACTCGTATATGTAAAATATATAATGTTTAAAATTTCAGGTCAAGCAAGACTATCACCAAGCTCCAACTACTTTGTCAAATGTTGAAGGTAACAATGACTTGTATAGCCAAAATGCTAATTACTCAAATAGAGCAGCTAAAAAAGTAAAAACTTGTGCGGTGATAGAGACGGTAAAAGCACAAGAAAAAGTGTCCACTCAGCAGCTCAACAACACTGAAAATGATGAATTCGATTCATTTGGTAATGTTGTCGCGAAGCAGTTGCGGACCTTACCTTTAGAAGTGGCATTAGAATCCGAGGAACTAATACTAGCAGTTTTAAGAAAACAACGCATGAAAGTCTTAAAACTGCACGAAAACGAATAAATACTTAACTCTATGTCATACTATTAATTTATCTAGTATAAAAACAATCGTCGTAAGTATTGTAAACCGCGGTAAAAAGTAAAAAAGTAATTATAAGTATGTATAAGTAGAAATAAATAAATATATTGTTGGGTAATTGCACGAGGATATTTATAAGAAGCTGAACCAAAGACATACCGTCTAAAAATGTTGTACATAATGACTGAAGTCATTGTCAGTTCTTGGGAAAAACGAAATAAAAATAAATAAATAAATACTAATACAATATCTTTATATTTTAATTCATTGGTTCTATTTTGATTTTCCTGATATAATTCTAATATTTAAAATTTTAATATTAACTGGTATATTTCTGTAATATTGATATGATCTTTATGTTTCACATAATAGTTGAAGGATTTGCACCATTTTTCCAATATGGTGGTGCGAGCGGCGGTTACATAAGGTCGCAAAATTGGATTATTAATTAGAACGTTTTTGCTTCCTAAAGTTTGAAAAAAGTTTGACTTGTGACATGATTTTTACACAGTACTTAAGTGTTACCTACAGAGAATATACCGAATGAAGAAAAAACTAAAAAAAAAACTAAAAAACCATAAATGTAATATAGCTTACCATCGTTACCTAAAAGATAAAATGAAAACTAAATAAAAAGATAGGCATCTAATTGTTATTAAATAATACTTTGCATTTTATACTATTTACTATAATTTTTCTTTTAACTTACGTTCAACTGTAATATGAAAACATGTATTTTTTAATATCAGTTGTGGATCATTAAATATTTTTGATTAACGGATTCTAAAATTATATTTTAAAAACTTACCATAATTATCTGTAAAAAAATATTTCTTCAATAAAATAATTAAAAAAAATATTATGTTTATCCCATTCTATTTAACATAGATTTTAAAATAATTATAAATATGACTCATAATACAATTAATATTCATAATAATACTACGATCACTTACGCCACAATTCATTAGCAAGCAAAGCTTGATCTGGTGAGGGCAAACTATAGATATATCCAATTTGACATGGATTCCAGTGATCACACACTTCTTTGTCTGGATCGAGTTCTGTTACAAATTTGTAAGTCTGTAAAAATAATAATTTTCTAAATTTAAATTCTTGAATATTTATACTACTTAATGGCTAAAAAGCTGAACCAATCGTAATAAAATTTATACTGTCTGTTTCAGTCAACCAAGTGGGCTCTGTAAGAAAAAGTGTATAATGGGAGTAACAAAATTACAGAAGGACGCTAATGTGTTCAAAACTGTATACTTATGTATGCTATGCTTATTAACCCTTGCCACTTGTTGCGCATTTAGGATTTTTAAAAGTTTTAATAAGGTACTTCTAATAGAAGTAATTCACTGTAAATATTTATCCTGCAGGTACCCAAAAACCCAACACAAAGGGTTCTGTATGATCTGCGAGAAGTAGGATCAGATTGCTAATACTTACATATTATAAATGCGAAAATATTTGTTAATTTTTTGGCGAGCGTCATAGTTGACGTTTCATCCAGTAATTATCTAGCGGCCCGAAATTTTGGTTACCAAATCAAGACACGCGATAGTATGTCCAGCCATGTTCAAGCAAAGAAACTAGCGACTCAGCACCGTATGTAATATTACACGAACCATTTGGAGCCACTTTTGACCCCCTCATAACTCAAAAACTATACATACAAGTTATCTTATATTTGGCTCATCACTTATATCTTCTTTATGCTATACGCAAGTTACTGTTTTTATATTATAAGGTCAACATATCTCAATCTTCTAAAAACTTGCTTTACTGGTAAAAACTAGCCAAGTCAAATCTTTAACTTCAATTTATCCTAAGTTATCTACTTTGTGTATATAATTCGACTGTTCCAATTTAAGAAAAAATCTATTTTTAAATAGCAAACACTTTTGTAGCAAAAAGAAACAAGAATTTGTGTTTTAAATTTCTTTTAGAATGTTGTATGTTCTTATGAAAAAAAAACTGGAATATCTACAGAACTTGACACCCATTTAGATATCAATTCTTTTGTCGGTAAAGTCGACAGCCACGCATTTTCTTAAACTTACTTACTACTTAGCTCCCATTTTCACATTTATGTTTTTGAATTGATAGGATTTTACTTATAAGAAGTCACTTTTCTTAATTTATTTTTGTGAAAACGGGATGCAGAATGTCTTGCTTAATTAAAAAGTATGCTTACTCTATCGGGATAGTATCGATAATGAACTACGACATCGTCTGTATCTTCCAAAGCGCATTTGCTGGTAGTGTAGTTTAGTGATGTCCTCTCAATGGGCGCACAACCAATCACAGTAGACCCATTACGAGGTAGGTCAGGACCTTCTATTTTATGTCCTATAAAATTAGAAAGTATTATCATCTATTAAACAGAGAAAATAGCTGAAATATTTAATTAATACACTCCATATTGCTTGTACAAGACAAGAAAAAATTTAGGAACGAACGAAGTTAAGTTTTAGAATCGATCATATATTGTAATGAAAGATAATGAAAAATATAAAATAGTACTCAAAGAAATCAAAATGATCTTTGGCTTTTAAATCCTAACACTTATTTATTGCTTTCGTACTTACTATTACAGAAGAAGTATTTATTTTCAGCGACATATAATTCTTTATCTTCAGCACTTAGACAGGAATCGTACATGATTTGAGTAGGTTCTACATCTTCTTCACACATCAAAACACCGGAACCGTCTGGTTCCTTAGGCGCTCGGTTCGAAGGGCAACGGTAGAGCATTCCTATAAGGTTTTAATAATTCAAAGAATTAACTATTTTTCATATCATTACTAAACAAATTATTGACAATCAATGAATAACACAGGATTGTGTTTCTATAATTAGTTATTACTTTACAAACAATTTAACTTCAAGTAGAAGAATTTAACTTTGAGGAAGAGTATTTAATTAACCAAGAGTGACCAAGTATGACCTCTAAAATAGATTACAAAAAAGTTTTCACTGGGATTTAACTCTCAAGACAACTAGGTACTATACATTACACAAACCTTTTCTTATAATTAGCGGAGGCTTGTTCCTTATCTCTGCGATAGTGACCCCTTTCTCTCCATTTTGAATAGCTGTCATTATTCTTTTGTATAGCGTCGTACGTCTTTCTTGTTCTGCTATTATATACGGAAGAAGTTCTTCCGAGAGTACATCAACTTTTTTTCTGGCTTCTGCATTCATCTGAAGTTTATTTAAGTTAATAGTATAATTCAAAATAATGTAATAGTGCAATAAATAATAGTATAATTCAAATTGCTGATTTTTTCAATATTTCAAATTTTAATTCGTCACGATTTCAACTTACCCTATCAGCATCTTTATTAAATTTTATTCCAGTTCCATCCTGAAAATTAAAAAAAGGAACATTTTGAATTTTGAAGAGTAATTTGATTTTCGAGTAAAATTGATTTTTAAATATATAAAGGAAAAGTAAGGTTTCATCACTTGATATGCATTTTGCATCACTAAAATCGCACATATTATATTATGTTCATTGTATAAATTTTTAAACTAGGTAAATTTACGACATTTGCCGGTGGGTCCCACATAACCACTTGTATGTATGCAGGTGATATGCGTAAATGCTTTTCTCAATATAAAAAAAAACTTACGACAGCCTGTCTTCTGACAATATTAGCCAAGTATCTACCCCTCCGAGTAGCTGGTAACAACACGCTGCCAGGTTGAACTTCATCACCTGCCTAAAGTAAATAATATTGATTGTGATATCGTTTTGACTGTGAAAGATAATGTATGCGAATTGCTGACTTACATAATACGCTATTCATTAGTTCCATGAAAAATGTACAAAGGAACAATATATTTTTTAAATAAAAATAAATATTTTATATATGAAATATAATTTCTGTCTGTTAATAGTTTACTTTATTGTATCAATATGCATAGTATCTATATAGCTATACATATTGCATGAATACTATACATCCTATTAATAATATTATAAATGCGAAAATTTGGGTGGATGGATGTTTAATACTCAATCAGGCTAGAACGGCAGAACGGATCTAGATGAAATTTGGCACAGAGACAGATTATAGTCTGGAATAGCACGTAGGTTACTTTTTATTCCGGAAAAATGTGCGGTTCGGTTTTTTTTTCACAGAGCTAGGGACCGACTATCTATTCTATACTAATCATTAAAACGTACCTAGGGACGAACCCGAGCTAAGCGAGGGTGAGTCGCTAATATTGCATAAATTGCAATAATAACTTTTGAAAACGAACCAGTCGTTGAGATATAAGCGCATGAGATGCAAACAAAAAAGCAAAGAAAACTTATATTACTATAGAAGTATAGTTTATTAAAAAAATATATAGACAAAACTATGTAGACACAAATTAGCTATTCGGTTAAGTGTAACTTTACTTTTAAGCCGATACGTATACTATATAGCTATTAAAAATACACAACCAAAAACGGTAGAACCTTCATTCATATGTATATATTATAGAAAAAAACATTCCATTTAATATTATTTATTATTATTATACGATACACACATATTTAGAAACAAGAAGACCTTACCGGCTGATAGCCACAAAATGAAAAATCAATGAGATATAAGAACATAAAGTAAATTGATACTTTTGTCATGATGCGCGCAGCAACAGAATAAATCACCTAAATAACCTTTATTACAGAATTACACACCGCTATGTAGTTAAAAAATTAATTGCTTCGTTAGATTGGTTTAACGAACTCTTTTATTACTCTATAATATTAACTGTTATACTTTGATAAAAATAGAAATCTAACAAACTATACCAATATATAAGGTATTTTGTTTATATAAAAGGTAATCTTTTCCCTTGAGTAGTTTTGCATCCAGAGAAAATTCGAGGGGAAGTGGAAATGAAGGTAAATACCTACCTACTAGTAAAAATTCACTTGAATGTATAATAAAAAATTTAAACTACATTTTCTTTTTTTTATTATAAACTACTATGTTTATTTTAAAATAAAAATATTAATTTATATGCTAGAAAATAATTTATTATTTTATAATGTGACCTAGGGTCTAGCTTTATCTCACTACTATGTAATTTCAAAAGTTTATGTGTCTGTAAGTATAAGTTTCTGGAATGGCTTGACAGATTTCGATAAAAATTTGGCATACATATAAATTATGATCTGGAGTAACACATAGGCTACTGCTTGACAATTAAAGGCGAATTCGAGCGAAGTGAGAGTAAAACGGTAATTAAAAATAGAAAGTAAAAACTATGATATTTAGTCACGTAGTTTAAAAGATTAATGTTCATCACAAAAAAGGATTCTTTCTACGAGTATGTTCCTAAAGACCTAACGAAAGCCTTCTTGATAGATTTTTAGGAACATCAGATGGCACTATTACAAGTGTACTCTTGATTTTGTATTACGTCTACTTAGTAGATACCTAGATACCTAGTTCCTATCACCTATTTAATTATATAGATAACTAGCGGCTCACCCTCGCTTCGCTCGGGTTCACCTCTAGGAAAGCACAAACAGATCTATCCCACGGGAACCATTCATTTTTCCGGGATAAAAATAAGTAACCTGTTGTTCGACCTGCAATATAAGGTATCAGCATGCCAAATTTTACTAAATTAGGTGCATAAGTTGTTGTGTACTGAGCTGTATAAGTTACTATAATTTTTTAACTATCCCACGGGAACTCTTTAATTTTCCGGAATGAAAAGTATCAAATTTCATTTAAATAGGTTCAATAGTATCGGAGATTAGCCCCTACGAACAGACAAAGAAACAAAAAATTTGAAAAAATCTGGATTTGTTCTATTTCTCTCCTTACGGTATATAAGAAGAGAACTGACTCGTTTTTTAGCAATTTTTACTACCATCTGTGTACAGACAGACATTCGACCTCTACAGTTTTATTATTCATATATGTACCTATATTCAGATAGAATAAATAACATACAATAAAACAGAAATATATAATAATGAAAATAGTTATAGCGAGTGTACCTTAGGAGATAGACATATACTATGTAGAACTTTTCTATAGACCTTTTTAACTTTTCTATAGACCTTTTTAAGACTTACAATTTTCTTGTACAATGTTTTGATCTATCTCTTAAGGTTGAGCCAACGTTAGCCATATAAATTTCTAAGGACAATTCGATAGAACCAGTTATTGTATTTTCCCGTGGGAATGAATAATTTGCCTGTCGTAAAAAGTATTTTAAATGTTGACCCGAGCACTAAGTTTTATCACTATACAAAATGAAGTTAAAATCGGTTGAGTTCTTTTTGCGTAAAACGCGCACATCGATTTGACTAAGTTTTATTATAGGTATAGATAAGAATAAATATTGCGAGTGTAACTTAGGAGATAGACATATACTATTCAGAACTTTTCTGTAGGACTTTTCAAGACCTACAATTTTTTAGTATATTGTTTCGATGTATGTCTTAAGGCTTAGTCAGAGGAAGGTTTCTAGGGAGGACTCGATAAAACCAGTTATTATATTTTCCCGTGGGAAAGAAAGATTTTCTTTAAGTATAAGGTATCTAGGCAGTGGTATCCCAGTGGTAACGCGCTCGCTTGGGAAGCCGAGTGTAGCAAGTTCAAATCCCGGGTCTAGCACCTCTGATATTGGCCAGCGTGGTGGACTATGGCCTAATCCACCTCGTACTGAAAGGAGGCCCGTGCGTGTGTTAAAAAGGGCTGAATACAACATACATACATACATACATACATACAAAAGGTACCCTAAATGTTGACTCGAGTAATAAGTTATCACTTCACCAAATTTCGTTGAAATTGGTACATTACTTTTCGCGTGAAACGCGCACACAAAAACAGACAAACAGACATACAGGCAAACAAACAAACAGACAATTTTTTTAATAACTATTGTTTTGGGGTCTATGTCGTGTACATAATACGTTACAAATAAACAAAAACATCTATCCCACGGGAAAAGTACGTTTTTCCGGGATAAAAAGATAACCTATTTGTTATTCTGATGTATGAACTATATTATTGTAAAGTTTCATCAAAATCCAATCAGTGGTTTTTGTGTACTAAGCTGTATAAGTTACTATAGTTTTTTGACTCTCCCACGGAAACTCACGGAAACACGGATATTCCGGGATGAAAAGTAGCTGATTTGTTTTTGTTATGTATGAACTATATTATTGTAAAGTTTCATTAAAATCCAATTAGTAGTTTTCGTATACTAAGATGTATAAGTTGTTATAGCTTTTTAACTATCCCACGGGAACCCTTTAATTTTCCAGGATGAAAAGTATCTAAGATGTTGCCCGGGGATATAAGGTACCACTATGCAAAATTTCATTTAAATAGGTTCAATAGATCCGGAGATTAGCCCGTACAAAGAGAAAAACAGATAAACAGCTCGCTCGGGTTCGTCCATACATACGAATATGTTGTATTATGTCTTTAACCATTTGTTCAAATTATATGCAGTAAAAGGGAAAAGTCTTTTGTTTTAAACATTTTAGACGATAAATTTACTTATTTTGATAAGAATTCATAATTGTTGATAATATGACCAATAAACATGACCTACCGATTTAAATTATTTTTTTAATATAAAAAACTACTTTTTGTGACTTAAATATAAAAGTTAGACATATGCTGTCGCTGACTTTTTTGTAGGCATTATTAAGCTCTACAACTTTTCTCTAGAACATAATCATATATCTCTCATCGTTAAGGCAGCGTTCGTAAGAAACGTTTTCGTTCGACCGTTTTTTCTCCGACTTACTTTGCAAATCCGACTACCACGAAAAACCCTTTTCATTTTTCGGGTTAATATATAGCCTATGACACTCAGAAAGAACGTGGCTTTCTATTGGTAAAAGAATTTTGAAAATCGGTTCAGTAGATCCAGAGATTACCCCCTACAACGTCACAAACTCACAAACCCACAAACTCACAAACTCACAAACTCACAAGATCACAAACTTTACCTCTTTATAATATTAGTATAGATAAATCTTAACATTCAATGTAATTAAATATTTAAAATAAATGAGAAATTATTTCACCAATTTCGTAAAATTAAGTAATTGCTAATATTTATAAGCAGGAAATAATTATATATAATATATAAAGATTCACATACCTCTTATATAATTTCATTATTTGCTCATGTTGAAATAATATTATTTATCTCAAAATATTTCAAGCTGCTATTATTTCATATTAAAGAAAATATTATAGTAATAAAAGATAAACAAATTGTTTTTTTTAGGAAAATATTTATTTTTTAATTTAATAGCCTTAAAATAGCAGTCTCTAACAATAGTTAAAAGTAGTAATTTATATTATAATTATACAAAATTATTTATTGATTCCAACCATATTGGAGAATCGATACTTTGTCTGCTTTGCGTCCTGGTATCTCCAGAGACACATCTTTGTTCAGTTCCACAGGTATTTTATGAAAAAAATATGGCCTATTTGCATTAACAAGGACTTCCTTGGTAATTTGTAATGGTAGAAGTCTTTCTACTTCAAAAGGTTTTTCAACATCTGTCTTTTCTCTTTGTATAACAGGCACGGGAATGTGCTTGATGATCTCAAAAGGTACAGGGTAAGGGTGCGGAACTTTAACTTCATAAGGTTCAGGAATAGGAACTAATACAGGCGTTGGTACTTCTACCTTAATTTGCTTCACAACAGGGACTGGGTTATGCTTAGTAATTTTAACCTCATGATGAACCAATATTGGTGGTGAATTTGCTATTGCTTCTGCTTGTGCGAGTGCACTTTGTTTTTCTAATTCTGAACGATGACGTTGCCTAATAATTTTTTCGATTTCAATAGCGTGTTTTTGATCATTGTATCTTGGAGCATATTGCAACTGTAATAAAGGTTTTTCTGTCTGAATTTGGGAGAATTGAATTTCAGAATTCTCTTTTGGAGATAAAGATGCCAACGCCTTTAATTGAATTCTGTTTTGGTCTAACACTGGCTTCCACTGTTCTTCTAATGCTTTCTTATCCGAAACAGAGCTATATGGCAACCATGAAATGATTGGTCTTTCCGTTTTTTCTTGATTATTTAATTCTTCTCTTACCTTAGTATCCTTGAATTTAGGATATACGTATTGGAAATTTTGTTGCTCTCTTATCTTTGGTTGGTTTTGACTCCAAATATTAACATAATCTAAATTTTTCTGATGGTTCCTGTTAAAAACTTGTTCTTCTTCTTGACTTTTTTCATAAATAGGACTTTCTGACAACACATTTTCAGGTTTCCGTTTTTCATTTGAAGCTATTCTGGCTACCTTTATATTTTCAAACTGTTGACGAATAAGATCTTCGTGTTCTTCAAACGTCAACTGTTTCTTGGGATGTTGTTGTTCAGTCAATTGTGGTACAGACTTAGGGCTCACTAAGCCCTTGCCGGATTTTAAAGCCTCTATTTGGCTAGGCGTAAGATATAAAATAATTTCTTTTGTTACATATCGTTTTTGTGTCTTTTGTGCTGGTGTTGATGAGGAAGAGTTCGACGATTCCGAAACTGCTTCCGGCCCCTCCTTCAATTCTTTTGCTTGAATTTCTACCAGTGCAACTAGTAAAGCGACCAATAATATCTAAAAAGAAATAAAGAATTATTTCAGAACTACTTACTTATTTATAATAAAATATAAATTTGATAATATTTACTTTAATAGTTATGTGTAAAACTTAAACATTAAATAGAGTATCTTTTATCTCAAAAATTATAATTATTCTTTTATAAAAACCTACAGAATAGTCCATAATTGTAGACAGTAGCCGTGAGCGGCGCTGTTGAACGTCTGATAGTAATTAAAGAAAAGCTCGAATTTTATATAAAAAGCGTATCTTCGAAAACTAATAGATATGCACATGATTTTGAATGATATGACACAGTTAGGTTACCAGTATACTAACTCTGACCGTATATGCAAATTATTTTTGATTCAAAATTTTCCATTAGCATAAACAAATTTAATTTTCACAATACACGGAAGAATTTTGACTTGGCAAAGGTGTTCTCAATCTATTTAATAAATATTTATGTACAAGCTTTATTTATATTAGGCAACTATTATTATGTATTATATTATAAAAACCACTTTTATTCAGTTTTAAATTTATATATTGATATAGATTTATAAATGTACGGGTATAGGATAAGATAATTTTTAACTTATATATTTTATTGCACATAAAAAAATACAGCACCTACACTAAGAGAAAACGAGGGCAAAGGTTGACTTACCTCTAAAAGAGATCTGTTCCTTGAAGAAACATTGTCCTTTAGCGGAGCATAAAAGTGCTAATACAAAAGTAATATTATCTATTAATATAGTGAAACCTCTTAAACGCTAATGATTGATACGCTGATGATGAAACCGAGAGAAGCGGGTTCAAATTCCGTGTACGAATCGTGAGGAAACCTGTTTAAGAAAGACATGTGAAGTCCGCCAACCCGCACTTACCCAGCGAGGTAGACTACAGCCTGATTCTCCTTATATTGAGGGGTGCTGGGGGGCCCATGCCCAGCAGTAGGACGTTAATAAGGGTTGAATACTGATAGGGTGATTCCAGATCCCAAGTATTAGTCTATCTTATATTTGCTCATGTTATTTTAATAAGTAGATAGAAATAGGTAATTTATTATGTTACCGGCCTTTAAAATTTAGATTAAAATGAAAACAGAATAAAAAAACATGTGTGTGAACTTAAATGTACGCAAGTAAGAAGTCATACTTCTTTGGCGTAACAGAACAAAAATAGCTAAAGATTTCATCCCGTATGTCAAAACTCTCTGCTTGTAAAAGGAATGATAAATTAATAAAATAATTAAATAAGGCATATAAGGCATATTACAATCATATATTTGTAGGATATCATTTAAGGAAAGAATATAATATTATTATACGAGTATATCATTTGTCAGGCAATAACAACGGTAATAGTTACAGAGTTATACGCTTCGAAAGTCGTAAGCATTGTGTCCCCCTTAAAATAGGTTAGTGATCGGAGACATACATATACGTAGCTGGACTTGCAGTAAGAACTGAATATTTATGTATATCTCCGACTGGTTTTCCCTTATTTGTAAGGTAAGTTTCCCTAATAAGGACCACGTTTTTACAAATAAGTTTCCCTTTGATCGATTTTGGGAAGTGTTTTCATTTATAAAACGTGTTGAGGATGTAAATTGTACTAATCTGAAATGAAAGCATTTTGCACTAATGTGTTGAGAATATTACTATTATTATTTTTTGTATCTCTTTAGAATTCACGGACTCGAAGGAGCCCGGTCCTTTGGAAGGCTTGCGTGGGGACACAGGTCCAACACGTAGAGGCCTCTTAAGAGATTAAAGCTTGTTTAATGTGAAGCATCAGCCGGGATCCATCTCTGAGTAGCCCATAGGGAATTGCCTACAGATGGCCTCCGGCTAATGCCTAATGACTATAGAAAAGATGGAAAACTAAATAGAGTTACGGAATGTAGTTTGGATGGACTACAAATGGGCTATTGGATGAGACTACCGGACGTCTGCCTGATCAAAAGTCTCACATTGAATATTTGGCGGACGGTGACTCGCCTCCCACTAGATGGGCCCCCGCAAAGCGGTATAGTGCCTTGGGTGCAACATCGGCGTGGTTGGCTAAGGGTGTTGAGAGGTGTGCACCGGTTTCACCATCGCGAGAGTGCTCGTGAGCGGGTTTTCCCGTTATTACGCAGATTCAGCACTTCCACCCTTTCGAGCATTTTTTATTATTATTATTGTTTATCGTAAGAAGTTTGAAAATATGGCCCTTATTAGGAATTGGACCTTACCTAAGTTCGTTTTTTACGCAGTTGGATATTTTGATATTTATTTTTATAATTATTTTTTTTAATTGCAGCTTTTTAGTTTTGGCTAGATCGATATTTGCAATGTTAAATTATTTATCCCAAAACACTTTTAAACATATAAGTAGTAGGTACCTATGTATTTTTGTGATTTTAAGTGATGTGATGCCTCTTAAAAAAGTAGCTAGACTCGAAAAATTCTCTAAACTATAGATTCGGTGTCTGTTAACAATGACTATTTTAATAAGATACTAGAACTTTATAAGTATCATATAATTTGTCGACTATTGGCGTGAATAAAATACATCTATTAATTATTATTATTTTCACCACTATATACGAACATATGTTGATGCCATCCGGATTTTTTTTTATAATTTACCTACATTGTTTAGCAGTTCATAATATAAAACACTTTTTATTATTTTTATAAAGTTTTGACTAAATAAATAACTTCTACTAACTCTGCCACTTCTTATAGCCATATAAAAAGACGATAACATTAATTTAATTATTTATTTTTAGTATTTATTTGTTGCTATAGTTATGAAAACTAATTAGATCTTAATTTCTTGTTTGATATTGCACTAGCATTTGCGCACAACTCGGCCCGTGTAGTTTATTTATGAGCCCACTTTATTAAATTCGCCAATTACGCACACTTGGTACGGTAGTTGTTCCGCTCCTAAAAAAACAATTGGACTGGTATTTTATAAATGGGTCTAATAGTTCTAGAGATTAACGCTTACAAGAAACCAATTAAAAATATTAAAAATAACGTTTTTCTAATCTTAGCTTTATAATATGAGTATAATGAACATACATACATCTTACTACTGTAATAAATGTGAAAGTTTGTGGGTAGTAGAGGCTGAACGAATCTAGATGAAAATTGGCACAGAGCTAGATTATAGTCTGGCATAACACAATGGCTACTTTTTATCCTGGAAAAATATACGGTTCCCGTGGGATAGATTTATTTTTGTTTCTCTAGTGGCGAACCCGAGCGAAACGAGGGTGAGCCGCTAGTCCATACTGATATTATAAATGGGAAAGTGTGTTTGTTTGTTTGTTTGTTTGTTTGTTTGTTTGTTTGTTTGTCCTTCTTTCACGTCGAAACGGAGTGGCGGATTGGCATGATTTTTTGTATGGATATAGTTGGAGGGCTGGAGAGTGACATAGGCTACTTTTTACCGCGGAAGATTATTTAGTTCCCAAGGGAAAACACGTTATAATACAATCCTAAAAAATAATGATCAGAATTACTTGAAACTTGGTATTAATGCTCTTCAATGAAATTAAATAAATACGTGTATTAGCATTTTTCGAAATTTATTCTATAAGGGGGTATATAAATAGGGGATGAAAGTTTGTATGAAACTACTTTTTTAGAGATTATTTTATAGTTTTAACGCGAGCGAAGCCGCGGGTTCTGCTAGTAATGTATAATTTCGTTGTCACAGCTGCGAGGAACATCGATTGACGCCAATAAATCGATAATAAGTAGTTTTATTAAGATCATAAAACAGAAGATCGATAATTTTTTATGTCAATCATATACCTAATATGTAACTTGATTTTAGTAACTACTTTTTAATTAGTAAGTCGCCCCTTAATTTTGAGTAGAAAAATGTTTAATATTGACATGAAGAATTATATTTTCTCTTTTTATATTATGTAATAGCGATTATTAAATTTGGGACAAATATGCGATTTGCATCAATCATAATGACGTAATGAGTAAAATCCATATTTTAAATATTTTAACATAAATAGTTCTACTTATTGGTAATAATATTTTACAAAGGTGAAATTTCCAACTCATTATGTAATATTAAGTAACCGATTTATTTACTTCTATTTTAGGAAAGTATGAAAATAACAATCATATTTACTTATTACTTATTTATTAATAATTTTATGTTTATATTGCATTATATGAAAATAATGAAACAAAAATTAAACTGGATAATTTTATTTTTCTTATTTATATATACAGCTAGTGACTAAGTATTTACAATTATATTGACTATTTGACACGATCACGATTTAATATTAAACTGTCAATGCGCGCCGAGCCACCGGTGGCTCGTTGAACAATTAATTTCCCGAAAATTCGCAGACAGGATATTACCAACAACAGCTCTTCTTTTTGTAGTGAGTTACGTGTTTGATGATATGAATAGGGTAAGGCTTCCATACTGCGACGGGAACCTCGACGGTCTTCTCTACTGGTACATGAACTTTTTTAATCACTTCTACGGGCCTATCTACAGGGACATGTACCTTCTTAATAACCTCGAAAGGCACGTGCTTCACAACTTCCACTGGAACAGGTCTTTCTACTTCAACGTGCTTGGTTTTGTATACGGGGTATGGCACCTGCTTCACAACGTCTACGTGAACGGGATAAGGTTGTGGTACTGGTACTTTGACTTCTTGGCGAACAGGCACTGGTACTGCTTGAGGCACAGCAACTTGAACATGGCGTGTTACTTCGATAGGTATACGGCGAACCACATTCTGGACTACAGATTGAAGCTCGTATCTCGAATTTTGAGCAATGGGCCGACCAACAGAGACTGTTGTTCCAATTACTCTAGGGGGTCCAGTTAATGTAAGTGATGCACCATTAGGACCGAACGAAGGTCCGCCCACAATGCCACCACTGATTCCAGCACCACCCAGTCCAGGGCCACCGAATCCAGGTCCACCGAGCCCAGCATCACTGATTCCAGCGCCGCCAAATCCATCGCTACTTATTCCGGTACCACCTAGTCCCGCATCTCCGAATCCAGTGCCACCGAGTCCAGCACCACCAAGACCTGCATCACCAAGGCCTACACTACCAAGAGATGCCCCACCTATATCTCCGCCAGCAAAATTTGCATCTCCGAAATCTGACCCTGAACTTCCACTGAAAGATGATCCGCTATTAATAAGACCACCCCCAAAATTACCATCACTTGCAGAAGGGCCACTTAGATCTATAGGCCCAGGTCCTGACAAAGATGGACCAGGTGGTCCATATGATGATGAAGGAGGACCGTATGATGCTGATGGTGCACTTAGCGCAGAGTTTACATAAGAATCTTTGTTGCCCGTTAATAGTCCGGCTGTGGCACTATAAACTAACGCTGACAGAAAGGTTGCCCTAATCTGAAACAATGATATTTTTTATTAATATAAAATCTTTTTATACATAAACGTTACTATAAAGAATATGTTCTATTTTATTTTTTTAAGTCATTAACTTACGACAAAGGCCATGGCTGTTAGCTAAACGCTTAAAGCCAACTAGAATAAGTTGTTGTTGTGTATTCCGAGTTTCGGAGGTTTGTGATTTGATAACACAACCTAACCACATATTTATACTGCTTATAGGCGTCGCTCTTTCGATACACACATGAATAAATTAGTCGGACGGATGTCGTCGTAAGCGATGTCATGTGCGATTTTTATAATATTATTTTAAATAAATCCCCAAATCATATAAACTTTCTGTCTATAACATAATATGTTTTTATTATATATTAGTTAAAGACTTTTAGGTTCAATAGAGAGTAAAATTATGCAAAAACAATTAAATTTAGTGTTATTAGTTAAATGATTGAGTGTTTTTATAGAGATACATACGGTTTCCAAAAATTGGTATAATTATTGGATTATTTCGATGGAACAATTTTAATCAAGATGAAAGCATCCCTTTCAGCCCTTTTTAATATATTATTATATATTCAATCAAAGCAAACTTTACAACCTTTACCCTATATCAATGCAAAACATTAACTCGTTCTAATCTTAGAAATATCATGCAATATGTACTAGAATAAATTTATAACGCGTATATTAGTAACAAGCGACCCTCCCAGGTTTCACTTAAAGAATTTGTCTTAAAGATTATAATTTAATTGGTTTATTGTAGAAACATTTTTCTATGAAATCTAATTATTTTTGTTTAACACTAATAATAATGCATATTTAACGGGAACAACAGATTGTATCTTATAATAATAATTGAACGATTCTTGTATATATACTATTAAATTTATTTTGTGTATCTCGGAAACGACTCTAATAATTTGGATCAAATTTTGTATGGAGATAAGGTTTTAAATAAATAAATAATAAATAAATATGTCAGGACATTAACACACAACACCATCTAGTTCCATGGTAAGCTACGAGGCCTGTGTTATGGATACCAGATAGTTGATACATTATACATATATAACTTTTAAATACATACGTATTATAAATATAAACACCCATGACTGGAGTACAAACATTCGTGCTCTTCACACAAATGAATGCCCCCAGCGGGACTCGAACCCGCGACCGCTGACGCAGCAAGTAGGGTCACTACAAACTGAGCCAAACGTGTCGTCTTTTTCTTTCTAAGTTTATCTGTATGCCTCTCTGAAAAAACGCGATTTTTATATCTTTGCAGAAAAACGTCGAGCGAAGCTCGGTCGACCAGGTTCTGAGATAATTAAAATAATGAAATGTAAAATCTTTGTTGGAGCTTGCATTGGGGACGCAAAGATAAGTTATATAAGTAAAATATTCAATAAAACACTTATCAATTAAAACCATAATATCTAATCAGTCATCCAAGCAAAATCCGTAACACGTTTGTTTTATAGCTCATTAAATTATATAATATTCGTAATACAACTACTTGTTTATGTGTTGAATTTATAATTGACTTTTGGTAATTCCTATAAAATTTATTTTAACCCATATTTAAGTTACTTTGAAATTAATCTTTCGTGTGATGTAATAACTTGGCATACTCCCTTTGTTGAGCAACTTTTGGTTAAAACAAGTTTGTCGTTCCGTTTCTATTTCACTATATTATGGGAAATTTTATGTAGATGAGTAATGAAATACCATCTGGCCGACATTTCGCCTAACTTCCGGTGTCATTCTGGGTCACTACTTTTACGTGATCATAATGCAAATATATTATGTTTTAGACGCGGGCCTATGAAAATATTTCGTAATGGCGGGTGTGATTAACCAGTTTCCAGTTATTGCAGATTTGATCACAATTTTCACACAATATATATATATATATATATATATATATATATATATCATGCAGTACATCTGTTTGAGCAATACGTAGGTACATCATGATTGTAATTTCTTCAAATAGATGTATTTAAGTATCATTCCAATTGACACTGCTTAATACGTCATCGAACTGCTTTCCAAGGATTTGTAAAGTTGGAAGAAATTTGTACTTCAAAAAAATTTAAGTATAGTATAATAGAAGCTACATGAACATATAATTTATATAATGTTATATGTACATATTATGTTTTATAGTATCCAGTCAAACACCAGTTAAAAGTGAACTTTGATGTTATTGTTTGATTACATCAAACTTCACTTGTTAACACACTAGTACACAGTAAGATTACTATCTTTTACATTTTTTTTTCTTGTAAGCCCGTTTCATTTTGTTCTATAAAACGTTTATCGCTATAAATACAAAAACTTACTCAAGAATAAATCAACAGTAAATCAAATCAGAAATTGGGTCTAGGAAATTATGCAAATTAGCTACTTAACCTTTTGTTGCGAAAAAGACTACCACAAAATGATATATTCGTAAAACTCTCATATTATTTACCATATTTGTAACGTTATCTATCATGGTCTAAAATTAAATGATATCACTCTTTTAAAGGTCTGTGGTACTGAATTACTCGTATAATATTATATAACTTAATATAATAATATATAATTTATAAGAACAATGTACATGGAGTATATCTAAAAGCAAAGCACAAAGCTTAAGATACCTGGCGAAAGTCGTAGATTCAATTCTTATATGGAGCAGATATTTGAATTTATCATAAACATAGTTCTTATCTGGATAAGATCAAAAATATTGGGAAAAATAAAGAGAGGTTCATGATATCTAAAGAGTGTTATCTGCGCTTATCTACAATATATATTTTTTATTTAATTAAATCGTTTTTTTTTTGTCAGGAAATATTCACAAAAATAATATATGTATATAATAATAATAATATATTATAAAGAAGTAAAGTTTATAACTTTTTAAGTTACAGTATATAAGGGGTTACCTCTGAAACTGCTAAACCGATTCTGAAAATTCTATTATACTAAGATTACCGCCGAGTGCTATATGCTATTTTCTATTTTGATAAAAATGTGTTCACTGTCGGAAATCATAATAACTTTGAGTTCCCATTTAATTCCTTTATCGGCGGGCGGTGCCTAAACGGGTTGAAATAACGTAAAGTATCAAGACATCTAGGGAGTAAAAAGACACACAAAAGCGCTAAAAATACGAGCGAAGCTAGAGTAAATCGCTAATTTCAAGTTAATTAAGGTGATTTTAAATAAAACTATCTTTTCGGATTATTTCCCGGATTTAGTTTGATTTTTGGTTCCCGACGTTTCGAATGCTTTACAGCAATCATCGTCACGGGAGGTTATAGGCGTCTCAAACACATATACTTGTTACAGACAGTGCCTACCAATTATTTTACAAAAATGATTTCAAAAATTCAAAAATGGCAATAAAGTACCTTACAATATTTGTCAATTTTTATTTCTAGGCATGTTTTAAAAATTTTAATAAGTATAGTAATTAAATATAGCGTAAATCTAAGAAAATATTAAGTTAAGGTGGATTAAATTATATGCTCGATAGATTTATAATCATACATCTATAAAAATGTAGTAATTAAAAAGTCCAAATAAAGAGATCTATTGTATTAATAAAAGCTTCTTTTAAATGTAAACCGACTTCAATTCACTATTTACTAAAAATAATATTAAAATCCCCCTCGGGATAGATACTTAATCAGATATTCATCGCAGCTGATAGCAGAGACAAGGCAAAGCAAATATATTTAGATATGTAAAAATACATCTTAAGTTGATGCATAGGAACGTATACTTGTCTTCTATCCGCTTTCTGGCTCCATCGTCAAGTCAGCTCGGTGATACGAATTATTATAGTATATACCATTGCAAAAATATTCACTTACAAAGTTTCAAGTGAAAATTAGAAGGTTAAAATTAGGTTATTGGATTTGCATATAATATCATATTTATTTTTATATTTATTTACGGTATTCTCTATGTTAAAGAAAATCACCAAGGACAATCTCGATCTACATTGATAGAATACAATTTTTTCTTGAGAAAAAATATACGCATCTAGTTCAGTTCTATTATTAATAGATTAAAAATATTGTTTAACCAAAATACAAGCATACCAACGAAGTTAAAGAAAATTATAAATAATGATAATTAATTAATGATTTTATTATCTATACTACGACTATACTTAAAATAAATGAATTTTAACAAGTGGAAATATTAAAAAATAAAGTCGGTCAACTTCTGGTCTATCTTTATGTTTTTGCTCTATATTATTGATTTCATTTACTGTTTAAATTACATTACTTCAATGGGCATACATGTAATTAGCGTATTAAGGTTATTTTCATTTAATATTTTATTTAATTGTCGTTTATTTAATACATTAAATAAACTTCATTATGTTTAGGAATAGATGCGAGATTATATAGACAGACAGAGAATTTAAATAGTCTGAAAAATTTGATTTGAATTCGGACAAATAAGCTTTTTATAACAAACTCATAGAAAACAATTTTTATGCTGAAATATTCTGAATTAAAAAAATTGAACTGCTAAGTTGGTCTCAAAAACTCTACAACATTTATTTATAGCTAATTAGCCCTTATAATATTTCGAATACTTTTCGTTTTATGCATAATTATATTAAGAAATTTATTGAATTATATATATTTTTGACTTGTTGCTAGTAAAGGATAATAAAGGAAAATATTTAGTCTTTAAGTAATCATTTTATTTATTTTATTGAAGTAATGAAATTTATAGTACTATTTACAAAACGAATAGAAGTTGAATATACAATTCGTTTTCCTAAATTAATGACTTAGTTATCACCCAACATTGCAGCCTCTAGATGAGCTATCGATATGAAATATATTTACAAGTAAACCAAACTAGGTTGCATTGCGAATGAAGTATTTACATTAGCTGGTCTCACTCACCACCCCTTTGACCACCCGTTTGACCACCCGTGACCGTGGCTAGAATGACTGTGAGCCTTGTGATGAACCGTCTTAATCACTGGTACTGGGTAAGACTTCACAACGTGAACTGGAACCTTGACTAATTTCACAATTGGGACTTCAACAATTCTCTCAACTGGCACTGGGTTGTCTACGGCTACTTGTACAACTCTTTCGACAGGTACTTTTACAATTTTCTCTACAGGATAAGGTACGGGTTTGTCAACATTTACATGTTGAATCTTAACGACAGGAACGGGAACGTTTCTGACCACTGGAACTTGGACGGGGTATGGCTGAGGTACAGGGACTTGGACGGTTTGAGGTACTGGTACGGGGACAGGTTGGGGTACTCTATGTGTAACTTCACGAACGACTTGATAAGTTTCATCACGCACTCTGTATTGTGTAGGCGCGCCGTTGTTGTTAGCGAGGCCATGGATTTCAGTGATTACTGGGGCCTTGGGTCCTGGAGGTAGTCCATTGCCTCCAATAAATCCGACTCCTCCTAAGCCTGGTCCAGAGAATGCAGCACCTGATCCTTGAAAATCGTTTCCTGGTCCTGACAAAATATTTCCAGATCCTGATAAACCAATGCTTGGGCCAGATAGAGATACACCTGGTCCTGAAATACCAACTCCTGCTCCAGGCAGTGCAGCTCCAGCAGTAATGGGAGGTGCAACTAAGCCTCCACTAAATCCATTTTCAGATATTCCACCTCCAATAAATCCATCACCGGAGAACTTAGCTGATGGTAATGAGCCTTGTGGGAAAGAGCTTGGTGAAAAACTGGATGATTGATGATGATGTTGATGATGATGATGATGATGATTTTGACCTTTGAACTTATTCACTACCTGAGCAAGTAAAGGAATATCTATATCATCGCCAACCCACGCGTAGCTGCTGCTCAGTAGGATGGTTAACGTAGTCAATATTGTCTGTAAATAATATTAAGTTGTCAAAACTGTTACATAATAAAAAATAATATTCACATTAAATTTGTTATATTTATTACTTACAAGGGTAGCCATGGTATCTAGCTAACCGCTGGCCACTCAAGTAAACTTGTCTGTTCTACTACAAGCTGGGCTTGTATATGTTGTTTTGGTTATTTCTGTCATATTTATATAGTCGCGTCGTTTATACTATGTAAAACGTCACAGAATTCAAGCAAAAAAACTTGTTCCGATACACCTTTCCTTTTCTAACGGATATACTATTCATCTGAATTAATTCCACTGCCGGTTACTTAATATTAGGTGTCCTACTGAGAAATAAATGTAGGCGCATCACTAATGTTATCGATTGCCTAATAAGTGAAACAGTGAGAAGAGCTTATGTTTATATAAATTTTATTAATATTTCATATGTTTACTAGCGACTCACCCTGACTCCGCTTGGGTTCGTTCCCAGGTTCGTTTTAAAGGTTAGTATAAATTTCTTAGAGATAAGATATTTTACCGCAGTAAAAGGTATCCTATATGTTGACCCGGATAACCAGCTATCATCATACCAAATTTGATCAAAATTTGTCAAGTGGTTTTTTCAGACAAACAAAAATTCTAAAAACTATAGATTCGGCCTCCTTATCGATAATAGTGTCTATTTCAATAAGATCATCCAAAAAAATTTATTATATATACTCATAGATTACTTTAGACATTGTCAAAATTTCTCGTACTAGTTTAAAAGGATTTGGACTGCTTAATTCTGACTATTATAAAATAATTCTTATCCATTATTAACCTATCTCACTCATTATAAAACAACTATGTTTCTCCATCTATATCCGCTTGCGTATTTGTAACTCAAAAACCGCTGATTCTACATGTATCCACGACCCTTCTTTACCATAGAAATATGTAATCCGGAGGTCGTATTATTTTAAAATATATTAATTTAGAACAGGTAACTTAGGGCTAAATCAACCATTTAAATTTTTATCAATTTTTATATAGCCTATGACCCTGGTGTTATCAAGACGAATCTAAAGACCTATGAATCATCAAAATCGGCGTACGCGTTCGGTCTCTAAAACGTACATACATACATAGACTGAAAAACACATTTCCCTCCTTTGCTTCGCGCAGTCGCGTAAAAATAGATATTATTCACAAATCAGAAATATACGTTTTATATTAATTATTATTCCAATCACATTTTTATGTTACTTTGCAGTCATGTAATTATATTTGTTAGGGAATCATAGTTAAAATTATCCTGTTTTGATCCAGGATAAAAGCAATCCATTACGAATTTTATCATCAGAAATTCTTACTGCTCTTTCGGAAATACGCTAAAAATCTTTTTAATTGAAAAACGTTTTTAACATATTAAAGAACACAATGACGGAATTTTATATAAATGTGCATAAAAACTTTAATTTTCAATAGAACTTTTCGTTTTTTAAAAATCGTAAATTTTTTAAAATATAAGTACCTACAAATTATAAACTTTAAACCTGTACATTACAGATTAAGAGCAATCAACGCTAGCAAATTAGGCGGCTTCTCATACACAAGCAATTATCTATAAATAGTGATTTTCAATTATATATTTTGCGAATTTCTTCAATGGACAATGCTCTGGACAAGGTGTTGCGTTTAGAAAGCGAGACATACGCACACGCATTCATTCGTCTTCTCTTCACCGTATCTAAAGTGTTCCTTGACGTTTAATAAATATCTGCGGTAGAGGGAAAATTAAACACCGGTTATAAATTATTTGTTTATTTAAACATAACTAATTACTTGAATTTAAATAAATAAGTGGAGTATTTAACTTGCGTTTAGTGAAAATAATATTTAATATTCTATGTGCATTTTACTCAAAGAAAATAGAAGAAGAAATTTAAAGCTTCTATCACAATACATTGATGTGTTAAGGACGATGGATTTAATAGTTAATGAAAAAAATATTTTTACCCTTGATTATTTAAGAGAAGATTATAGTATAAACTATAGCAATATAGGTATTACCCCAATTAAGTATTGTTATTACTGTCACCATCTGTGTTACGTTTTACGTAGCAATAAACTCAAGGGTATTAATCTTTGTAATCAGTTATTAGCAAGTGAAATTTAAACTTGAGAGAAAATGATTAATATCATAATGTTGTGATTTTCAGTGCCTTAGCACGCACATATTATGTAACAATTAACATTACTCCATGACATACGAGAAAGTATATCAATTCAATTTCAAATAAAATTAAAAATTAGTATTTTAACCTTAGTAATATCACTTACATAATTTAAAAAAAAAAATGTTTTCCATAAGGATTCATTTAGTATTTACGTTTTAATTTCAAAGACGTCTTCTGGCTCCCTTTTTAGATAACCCAGATAGAATGTAACTATGATAGACTTAGAAATTAAAGTATATTAATTGTCAGTTTGTTTAATTTTGTTGGCTCTTAACGAGTTCGAGTTAGAAGCTTATTCTTAAAAACGTGTATGGTCGCGATTTAAGCGTCCATTTTAAAACCTGATATACTGGTAGCATATTTGTTGACTTTATTACTGTTTTTAACTATTCTAAATATATACCTACCTATTTAAAGAAATGGTTTCTGTTGGTTGTATATAAATTAAATAAAAAAGAACGAATAGGTATATTTTTACTCAAAAATGTATTTTATTTTTTTTAGAATTTTCATCAAAATAGCTTTAATAAATTTTCAGATTTTATAATAAAAATAAAATAAAACGTAATTTTAAAAGATTTTTTTTATTTTATATCAACATTATGGTATAACGAAGCAACAAATATTATAGTATCTTATCACAATAAACATATTATTTACAAAATATCTAATTTATATTTTTCTTATATCTAAGGTACCTACTATTTACAAAATAAACACTTCAGATAAATGCGATATTAATGATAATGCTAATATAATATGTATGTGTAAATGTAGCACCAAACTGCTATAATGTACAAAATTAAAATATAAAGAACGTATTCTTCCTTTCAGTCAAAATTTTACACACTGCAAGCAATTTCTTTCGGAGAATATTATCTTATAGTTAGTGGCAATTTATAAAATATATATTATTATACCTACAATAATGGTAATATATACTACAACATAATCAATAAATATATATATTTTTAATTTAATAAAATTATTAAAGCTGCAAGTAATGCCTTATTTACTCGAACTTAAGATTTGCACTTTCGTAAAGTCCTTTAACAAGGCTATTCAGGAAATCTTTCTAAGCTTAAAATATAGAAAACATACAAGAAGACACTCATAAAATGAATGTAGTTTAGATAGATATAAGAATAATAACTTTTTTCTGTTCCTCAGCTTCTGCTAAAATATTTAGGGTTTGTACAGTTTTTATGAAATAATTTATTCTGTTTTTTCCTCAACAATATCCGATTTTTCTTCAGCTACTGAAAAAGAGCGCCTTAATGAACCGATGTCATCATCCATAGAAGAATCGCCTTCAAATAAAGGTTGAGTTTTATAAACTCTCAACATTTTTGGTCTTATAACACGTCTTCGATGAATACTTTTATCTCCTTTGTAAACTGTTCTATGACGTGAGCTGTGAGGAGGTGGGGGTTTTAGAAGGGGATAGGGCTCTTCAAATTCTGATTTAGGATATTTTCTTTTATAAGAGTAACGATTAGTAGAGGCACTTGGACGTTTGTGCCTCTCATTTAGTGACCTTTGGCTTGAATTAAATGCGCTTTTATGTTTATCATCATCTAGATTGAATTCTTCTGTTGGATCAGTTATATCAGATACATCTGTATTTACTTCATCTTCTTCTACAACAGCGCCTATGGGATGATGATTAGATGAATCTGCAATGGGAATAGTTTCTGGTGCTTCTTCACTACGTGAATATTTTACGCCTTGATAAGGATAGCGCCCATTATTATAAATATCATAAAATGAATTACTAAACGGATTTATGACACCGTTATTAAGAGTCATCACATTATTATCATTTTGATATTGAAGAAGTTGTTGCAATTGCGTAATATCGAACTTTATTGGTAAATTTTTATTTAATTCATTTCGCAAAGGTGTCATTTGGCTCTCATCAAAACTTGGTTTACCTTTTAACATATCTGCCACTAATTTAAGATCCACGTTAAAGGGATTGGCAACTTTAAAACCGTTAATTGTTGATATTAAATTACCAGATTGTATATCAACTTCAGGCCGGTTTACATTAGGGTTATGTTGCTTATTAGCCATCAGTTTATTAAGTATTTCAGATGTAATATCTATATGATGATTTTCAACGTTTTGATTAAAACGACTAGGTAACGGTGTTGGTATATTGCCGTGTTCCAAACCGTTACTATTACGGTTTCGCTGTGTTTCCGAATTATAGCTTTGTGTTAAGCGATAAGGAATGTCGTTAAATTTTAGTAAATTATTTAAATCTGAGGAAGTTTGAGGACGTTGCAATCCTTGTTGGTGTGTATTGGCCAATGACTGAGTATTATCGTAATGATTACTTACTATTTGGTTAGCGAATTTTAAAGACTGAGTTAATTCGTCAACAAAGCGCTTATTTCCTGAATTTAGGCCGATATCTGATGTTTGATGTTTTCCATAATTTTGCTCAAATTGTTTCATTTTTTCTAATAGATCATCCGGTTTTGATTTAATTGTATACATTGTATTTTTGTCTTGGTAATATGGATCATTAACTTGTTTTAAAAATTGTTTATGAGTTTGTTCAGAAGGTTCGTTATAATATTCTAAATTACTATATCTATTACTTGAGTCAGCATCAGTGGGTATTTTAACAGACGAATCGGAATTTTGTACAACGTTAGAAACATCAATCGGAACTATATTTTTCAGTGCTTTATTATGATCAAATGGTATTTTATGCCTATTTTCCAAGACTTCTCTATTATTCATATAGAGAAAAGGAGTTGATGTAACAACTTCAGAATTTATATTTCCATGCGAACTCACACTGTTGCTGTATTGTTTATTTCTTTGTTTATCATTATCATTGTCATTATTGTAGTGAGAATTAAGATTATACGAATTTTGCATCAAATTGTTATTGTAATGAGCATTTGACATATATTTATTTGCTTCAAGTTGTTGCTTATATTTCTCATGTGCTTTAGCAGCAGCTTTTGCGAATTCTTCGGCTTCTAATTTTTCCGTGACTGGTTTAGTATTTTGTTCTAGCCCGTACGCTTTACTAGAATCCATTTGAAAATTGACTTGGCTAATCGCTCCTGTCTCAGGTTGTAAGCTATGAAATTGATACTGAAAGTAATTATTTTTTGTTGATATTTCTGGTTCCAGTGATGATTTTTTTTCTGACAGCTTCCATCCATAGTCACCGTGAGAATAAACATCTGACTGACTCATATCCTGTTCAGAATCTCTAGCTTGACTTTTTATATTATTATAAACGTGATAATCAGGTTGAGCGTAATTTAGAAAGAGATTATTTGCTGCAGCTATACTACCAAAGCGATTTGAATCGGTATTGGATAAATCAGAGTTAGTTTCTTGCCTATTGTCGCGTTGGTTACTATTATACCTATAATTTTGATACGGTTTCTGAGCATACATTTCAGATTTTGGCAGTGCATTCAAGGCTGAACTCACCGGAGTTTGCCAATTACTATGCAAATGCTCAGGATATATAGATGTATTAGGTGACATAGTAGATGAGGGAAAATCATTTTGGTATTGGCTTTGAGGATGCAAGGGATACCTTAACCCATTAACGGAGTTGTCAAAGAGGTCAATTTGCATCGCTTTACCATATTCATTATTTATTTCATATTTACTTCCAGCTGTAGTTACTCTGTTGTTACTGTAGTCTACGGTTCCTGATTGAATATTTGACATTGGAGAGGAAACATATTGCTGTACATTTTGTGGACTAGAAAGGTATATTGGAGAAGAGCTAGAGACATATGTGTTAGTAGGAGTATCTATGTACTGAGGGTTTGGTAAGGGAGTAGTTAAATAAGGAGGAACTTGAGTACTTTGTGTTGGTTCAACGTTATATACAAAAGGATTATACTGATACGAATTCGAATTACTTTGATAAGTGGGACTATATACTTTTGGCTCCGTAGTTGATAATTGATTCGACTGCTGGTCGTAGTTAGAAGCTGGTATAGTAGAATATTGATATTGCGGTTGTGGTGTAGCTGTATAAGGTGAGGCAGACACTTGAGTAGTTAGTTGTTGCTGTTGATGATATTGATTTTCTGCCCTCATTTTTTGTAAAAACTCTTCAGGAGGTAAAGAGTATTGCATTGCTGGATACTGGTTACTTGATCCTGTAGCACTATCTTGTGAATCTTGGATTTCTTGAGACGATTTATCATCTTCTTGCTGTTGCTGAAATGGGTTTTTAATCCGATACACCTTTCTACTTCTTCCTCGGTCAATTCGGTTATAATCTCCATTACTATCACCAGCTAAGTGGTAATGTAGATTAACTGAATTCATAGACTGACTATTCGGTTCTCTTTGCATAACATTTGTGCTGTAACCAGTAATAGTTTCTGATTGTCCATCATTAATAGAGTATTGCTGTTGTAGGCGGAGGAAATCTTGATCGCTAAAGCCATCTTGACAGCCAGCTATTTTAATGAGAAAAATTGCGACTAGGATCCGTATCTGAAAAAAAACAATGAATGTTAATAGGTTACTTCTATAATTTGATAACTTGTTAAACACTTATCGTAATGTTCAAAATAAAGTTAACTGATTCAATAAATTGAAAGGGAAACAAAATAATTTATGTCAAGTAATAAAAATTACAAGTTGCAAGTTCTAAGATGTATAGTATAAAATGCGCAAACTTGACCTCGCTAAAAGTAATAGCACCTGCAAATTTGCTACTACTATAAATGTAAAAGTTTGTGAATGACTCACATTGTGAATGAAACACACGTTTAGTTTGTTTCTTCTTATATTCCCTCTAAAACAGCTTAATTTAATACTTTATTTACAAGTAAAGAATAAATAATAATAATAAATAAATAAATATGTTGAGACATTAACACACAGCACCATCTAATTCCACGGTAAGCTTCGAGGCTTGTGTTATGGATACCAGATAGTTGATACACTACACATATATAACTTTAAATACATACATATTATAAATATAAACACCCATGACTGGAGTACAAACATTCATGCATGAAATTACATTGAAATTACAAATATAGTTAATTAAACTACACTTAATTGTTACTGTACAAGCTAGGTAAAATATGGTAAAAATGATAGCTGCATTCCCCCTGTTTATGGCAATTCTTTAGACGAAAAACGAGTCAGCTCTTTCTTGCCTACTGATGCAGAGGCGATCACATAAGTGGACTTGAATAAAATTTCAAATAAAAACATATATCTCAAATTGTCTCAAATGCTGAGGGATTTTATTACTTTTCTAACAAGATTTAAATTAAAGAAAAAAAGAAGAATTCATTATTATTGCTTTTATTTATGAAGGCTAAAGAATTATAAACATATATGTATAAAATTCTCGTATCACGGTGTTTGTAACAATAAAATACCTTAACTCCTCCGAAACGGCTTGACTGATTCTTATGAAATTTTGTGTGTACATTCAGTGTATGGCAATAGGACGTAAACTATTTTTCATACCGATAAGTGATAAGGGTGGCCCACCCTAAAAAACTATATTTTATTTTTTGTTTATATTTAAATTTTTATGATTCGGCATAAAAAATACATACAAACCTAAAATTTCAAAAGGGACGATCCCGAACGGAGCGAGGGTGAGTCGCTAATAAAATATATAAGGGATATCTTGCAAATAATGCAAATAAATAGAGCTGTATAACTATAAACGCATTACCAATTCGAAATATCTTAACTAACAGGTATTAAATTACTGTAATTCAAACATAAATAAATCTCTACATATATTCATTAAGTGAAACTGTATACTGATGTCAATTTCCTTTAGTGAAGATTAGTTACAGTGTTTCTAGAGAGGGCGAGGGGCAAACGATAACCTTCACCTAAGAGGATAGCATGACTAATACAGAATACTTCCTTTAAATCGCTATTATCGACGGTTCAAAATATCGTGAGAATTTGTAGACTTAAAGGCGCCCGCGTAGATTTTACTTTCTCTTAGCTTTAATATTGTTTTCGTATTGAAATATTTTTTTTAATTCGCCTTGTATAGACTTATCTTTATTTAAATAATATGTTAATTTTATATTTTACTTATTTCTTATTTATTTACAATAAAGAAAATTACAATTAAAGATATCAGATAGTTATTTAAAACAAGTTTATTTAATTATTATTATAGTATAATGCAAATAATAAAATAGATATTTTTACGTCACAAAGTTACCAAAATTATTACGAGTAATAAAAATTATTTATACTATGTTATGTAGTCAATATAAAATTGTAAAAATAATATTTGAAGTAATATTACAAGTAGTGGAAGGAAGTAACTTTGTGAAAAATAAATATTTCTTTTTGGGGATGTGAGAGATATTTACAATATATTGCTAACAACAAAACGCAAAGTTAAAGGTCATCGCGACAGATGAATCTTCAATGTATTTTCTCTGCCCTTTGGAAGTCACGACAAGGATGCAGGGAAAGCGTTTTATAACCAGTTGGAGTTACTATATTTACTAAAGACTAGATATATAGACCTTCTTACACACGACGACACGTTTGGCTCAGTTTGTGATGACCCTACTTGCTGTGCCAGCGGTCGCGGGTTCGAGTCCAGCTGGGGGCATTCATTTGTGTAATGACGAATGTTATATATGTGTAGTGTATCAACTGTCTGGTATCCATAACATAAGCCTCGTAGCTTATCATGGAACTAGATGGCCCGGTGTGTTAATGTCCCAACATTATTATTTATTTATTATTTAATGCTTGAATCTATACATAAATAGGCAAAGACAAAACGGTTCATTCAGTAACTATCTTGTTCTAATATGTTTTACAACCGAATTTTTGATTAATAGGTTTAGTGGTTTTAATAAAAAAATTATTACGGTCAAATTTCGAACACTAGGTGAATACTAGTATTTATAAATCCATTATTTATTTATCTATGATTTATTAAAAAACTATAGTTAAAAATAAATAAAGTAAAAATCAATCAATTTGAATACATATCGTAAATGCTTATCATCATGCTTAATATCAAAGTCACCTTTGAAATAAAAAAATTATATATATAATATATCTCAATTTCAAATTATTATATTACAAATTTCAAAAATAATAATAAATGGCAATGTATAAACATAACAAAACAAAACAACAAGAGATCTGAATATATGTATGTATATAATAAATAGAAATTATCACACTTTAAATAATTTTTTATCTCATAGGCTAATATCCATCTTGAACTTTGTATTAAATTTCATAAATTAAAGAATATTTTGCCGCGGATATTTCATGTCAATAGCTGGCTTACGTTGTATACTAATATTACAAATGTGAAAGTGTTATTGTTTGTTTATTTGTGTGTCCTTCTTTCACGTCGAAACGGAGTGACGGCTTGGCGTGTTTTTTGTATGGAGATAGTTAGAGGGCTGGAGAGTGACTGAGACTTTTTACCGCGGGAGATTATCTCTTTCCCACAGGAAAACACATTATAATACAACCCGAAAAATTATTTATGATTAGAATTACTTGAAACTTGGTATTAATGCTCTTCAATACAATTAAATAAAAGCGTATTTTAGCATTTTTCGGAATTCATCCCATAAATGGGTAACATAGGGGATGAAAGTTTGTATGAAACATATGTTTTAGAATTTGTTTTTGTAGTTTTAGCACGAGCGAAGCCGCGGGTTCTGCTACTATAATATATATGTAAATAGTAGTATTTAAAAGTCCTTCTGACTCTTACTAATTCGCCTTCATATTGATCTCAACATGTTATGGAATCCAATAAAACTGCCACATAAATATTAATGTTAAATCTTGTAAAGTGAAGAAAAACCATTTTATGAATATTGAATATTTCTACGAAATTTCAAGTCCATGACATCTTATAAATCTCTGTTGCACAAGTAAGTTGTGACATAGGCTGGTATTTTTACCATAAACCGTGAAACATCCAGAAGTAAAGAAAGATTTTTGTTAAATGGAGTATTTATGACTAATTTTTATTGTTTTTGTTTTACTTTTAAATAATATAAATTAAAATACCTATTATTCTTGTTTTTGTGATTGATATATACGACTTGATTTGAGCCTAGTACATAATAAAAATGTACCAATGTAAAAAAGTACTCGGTTGGTGAATTATGACGAATACAGAATAATGAGATTTCACAGACTTTTTTATTACAATAACGTTTAATAATATAATCTTATCTAGTGTTAAATTATTAAACACATTTACTTTTTCTTCTATATTATTTTCTCTATAATATTGAGGTGTTGTGCAATAAATGGAAGTTATAATTCACCTTGGTTCAGGTAACGAGACAAATTCTTTTGATTCTAAAATAGTTTAGAATCAAATCCGCTTTCAAATGGAAACATTTTCTTCCATACAGAAATTATTATAAAAATATTATCACAGATAATTAAACATATTTAGAGATAATATTAAAAAATATTAAAATATTACATTTATTTCAGTATGAAAATATAAAGGAATATAAAATGAAATTGTTTATATGTTTTGCCCTGAGGAAATTAATAACCAGAAACTTAAACCTTCCACATACAATCGCATTATGTTAAAGACTCTTGAATGGTCAGAGAACAATGCATTGTCATTGTTACGAAAAAGCTAAGATATATAGTGTTGTCCTTAAGTGGGACGACATTATGTACTTATCTAATCTGGTACGATTATATAATATAATTACATAACCCGTAGAAAGTATCCATGGTTTTCTACTCGGATACTAAGGTCAAATTTTTATTCACATTAAATTTCCATAGCTGTGAGTAAAATAGCTTAAACTGTTAAAATATTAAAGTTCGTTAATTAAATTAATCAAAATATGTTTTTAAAGTAAGATATTATATAAAAGCGAAAAAAAAACTTTCTGGTATTAATAAAAACTTAAAAAAAACCGACTTACATGCGCATATAAGTTGTATATATTTTTGTGATCGTCTCTTAAAAATCTTTATTTTGATACCCCACTCGATTTTTTTAAGTCACAAATTGGCGCCTGAAATCCGCCATTTTAATTTTTAACTATTTTTATATAGAGCCTATGACACTAGCGTTATCAAGACAAATCTAACGACGTATGAATAATCAAAATTGGCCTATGCTCTAGAACACCACATAGAAACAAACATACATACATAGACTGATTAACATATAACCCTCCCTTGCGTTGCGCAGTCGGATAAAGATTAACATCTGTCTATTGTATTTTTCTTCCGGTAAAGAAATAACAAAAATATGTAATTTCTTACGAGGAATTCTTTACAATAGCGAACATGACTATGGAATTAAACATTCCAGTTTCTACAGTTTCAGAAGAATACCTATGACACTCTTTTAACACGCATCCCGTATTTGCATTTAAAACTTTTATTTTTCTTTTTTCTTACTATTTTTATAATATCATACAAATTGATAGGTTTATAATTATTTAAATTGATAGTGTTTGTTTCTTTATGAAGGATATACATTTTTAAACTTATCAACGCCGTCATGGAATCGAAGCCTAAAAGTCAAAAGTAAAATTGAACAATAATGATCACACATTATTTTAATACTGTTGGTTTATTTTATCCCGTAACCAACACGGAAAAATAGTAAATAGTTTCGAACAATTAAAAGCTTGATTAATTTATTTTAGATTTTCCGTAGAACGCTCGTAATGTTATTATTGCTTTATTATTATTAAAATCATTCTGAACCTTTTATAAGATCTAAGAACTTATATAAGTCGGTGTTGAACTTTTAGCTTTAACCTGATATACTCGTATACTGGAGTCCTATAATAAAATGTACTTATATTTAATACTAGCGTTTCCAAGCCGTACAATAATGTATCACTATATCTTTATTAATTACAGTATAGGTAAATGATGTATATTGTATAAGTTATAAAACTATAAGGTTTCATCAAAATCTGTTCTGAAATTATTGCGTGAAAAAATAACAAACATACATTAATAGATATTAGTAGAATATATGTAAGTTGTAACGTATCATAATAATATTTAAATACCTATTACGCTCCTCCGCCTCGAAGATTACTGCTAGTCCTGACCTGATATAATCCTAATTTTTTCCTTCTCACATCTACCTTCATAAACGTTTGCATTATTGTTTTATATCCAAAATTTTAATCAGTTAAGTTCCACATGTACTGTCGTAAAATATAACTATCCTTAGTTACAAATGGATACTAAAAACTGAAAGTGTGTACGTATATTTTCACGGTGCTTACATTTTTGTATCAAATTAATATTGTAAGAATAAAAATGTGTTATAAATTTTTCACGCCTTTGCAAGCACTAACACTAACTATTAAGATTTAGTTCCACCTAAAGATAAAGATCGTATATCGTAAAACAATGTAAATTTTCAATATAATAATTATGATTATATGTATAATATTACCTACTAGCGATTCACATTCGCTCCGCTCGGGTTCGTCCTTTGGTACACTTTAACGGCTAGTATAGATTTCTCAGAGATGAGATATTTTCCCGCAGTAAAAACTATCCTAACTGTTGACCCGGATAACCAGCTAACACCATACCAAAATCTGTCCAGTGGTTTTCTCGGGAAGTGCTCCCAGACAGACAGACAAAAATTCTGAAAACTTTAGATTCAGCCTCTGTATCGATAATAATGTCTATTTCGATAAGATTTTCCAAAAAATATTTAATGTACAAATTTGGTATAGTTACAATTTTATTATATGTATAGATATGTATAATATATTAAACTTATACATGTATGTATATATCATGAATTAATTTCTCCTTGATTAATTATGTCACTGAGCTGGTTAAAAATTCTCTTTGGCCTGATATTATATAAAACCGATAGAAAGTAAATAAATATTTAACGTATTATTAACATACTATACTTTTCTGTGACCTAGAATAGTTATATATTCGAAATCCTTAGTAAATATTTTATAAATATTCATATGAATTTATGTATTTTATATTTAAATCTTAAAAAAATAATATTATAGTAATGCTTTTATTCATATTCAATTAGCAATAAGTGTTAATTGAATGTTCTACAATTAAATTTTACTCTATAAATTCAGATGTTAGTTAAAACAAACCACAAAAATAATGATACGAAAATTAATTACTAAGTATAGTTACTAAATTTTCGGTTATTGTTAATAATTATAATATAGGAAAGCAATATCGCGTTAAAATTAGATAAGATATCTAATTTATTGTATAATAACTTACCGTTTGTTGCTTAGCCATTATTTCGAAAAATCGATAAAATCTGCACAAACAAGCACTACTTTAACTGTTATGATCACAACATTGTACACTGACACCAAAATCCAACACGTCTCCTTCAGACCTTTAGTTAAGGGTGTATTTCGTTACTTGAGCAATGGTGAAATGAAGTTCAAGGATAGGCACTGTTAGGTTTATATACGGGGGTAGCGGAGCGTGGTAGTGTTTGTATGAATCGGTGGGTGCATGCACGAATGCAATTGAGTGCACACATGCGCAACAAAGACCGCTTCTCAAAGTTACTGTGAAAACATTAGTTTTTAGTAACATTCGTCTTTGTTATATAACTATTGGAAAGCCAGATTTTGTATTGCCTAGATAATTTTGATTTGTTATAGGACCATTTTTGCTGATAGTAATTTTTTATTTCATTTATAGCTCGGAAGCAAAGAAGCAAATATCGATAAAACACGAAGTTTGTCGGAATACTTGCTAAAACAGTTTTATACATATAAATAAATAAATATGTCAGGACTTAACACACAACGCTATCTAGTTCCATGGTAAGTTGCGAGGCTTGTGTTATGGATACCAGATAGTTGATACATTATACATATATAACTTTAAATACATACATATTATAAATATCCCATGACTGGAGTACAAACATTCGTGTTCATCACATAAATCAATGCCCCCAGCGGGATTCGAACCCGCGACCGCTGGCGCAGCAAGGTCACTACAAATGAGCCAAACGTGTCGTCGTCATATGTTTAATTATTAATAAATTAAAATACATAACATAAAAAATTATATATTCAAATGTTAACATTAAAAATTATAATATGTACTAAAACCGATTACGAAGTTTATAAAATCCATTTCTGTGATAATTATATTATAATGTTATATATTAAAAGTATTAGAAAATACATATATTATCTCTACCTGCTAAAACTACGAGTACATCAGTTCTCTACATCATAAGAAGCTCTTCCACATGATGTGGCAGTTTTGTTTCTATAAAAACCATTAATTACAATGGAGTTCGTTCAAAAGTTTTATAAATGTATTGAATCTATTAAAGTAATACCTTAATGCTCAATATAAAACAACAGTCGTGTGCCATATTTCTCTACTGTCCTGTCTACTAGGCCAAAGTTCACAAGATCAATCACCTCACAACATTAATATATTTTCCGTAATAAGAAAAAATATCTACTAAAATTAAAAATAATTAAGATGAGAAAAACTAGAGAGAGAGCTAAGATACTAGTCATAATTCACTAAAACAAATTTTATTATCCATAATATTTCCCTAGAGCTATAAGAAAATCGCAGTCGCCGTCGAGATAAAATTGATTGACGTACAAAGTTACGTACTTCCTCGTACAGAGTTGCGATTAACGAAATCGATTGAATCGAAGCAATTTTAACATTTTAAGCCAACAAGCGCTGCAAGTATCTTCCATTATAAAAATTATTAGCATTGCACAGCGCTGGATGATACATTAACTTTAAACGCCTCAGGAAGGAAACACCTGCATCTTGTTTATGAGTTTGATGGTTTAAGATATTCCTGGGGCGTCTTTCTGAGTAATGAATAGGCATGGAAAATGGCAGCCTTTCTAAGTATTCCCATAGTCTTTAATAAATGATATTGTAAAGCTGTTACAATAAAGATAAGTTATAACGAAATATCTACTAAAGAAAGTTTTAAGCGGTGCTAAGGTCTGATACATTGATATTTATCTGTTAGTTTCGTTTAATCATGAAGATCTTTTATGAGTTTCCTGTGAACTTTAAAATTACTAGTAGGTAATACAGAGATCGATGAGGGCAAGTGAGAACTTGTCGTATTTAGAGATCACTTGCAAACAATTTACGATTAACAATAAAAGTGTTATTTTACAGGCCCCATGTGAATAGGTAGGGTATAAGCATGGTTTTTATTTTATTCAAAATAACTTTTAATGTATTTTTTCCAGATTGCATTGTCAGTTTACAAAGCATGAGTTTCATCTATGAATATTTATTGCGTAATGTGTAGATAAATATCATCATTTTATTTAATTCTATACCAAAATTGTGTGTTTATTTTATAAATTTTATGAAAAACTAATATTAAATTACTTTCCATCAATAATACGTAGATGTAACAATGATATATAAATAATTATTTTCTTTTAATCCCTTTGTAACTTTTTATGTAATAGTAATAGTTCATTAAACAAATATGGAAAAAAATACTGTTCATGTGTTATACTGTTGTTGTGTGACATTTTTGTAATTTAGAAATCAATTATATTTTTTATTTTATTTCTTAAGCGATTTGAATACAAATAGAAAAAAATTAAACAAATGAAAAGATTATCGTGTAAGTATAATAAAAATAGATCGATAAATCTAAAATAGAAATGAAAGAGTACACTAATAGCGATAGCTGACATATAAAATGTCAAGTTTTAAGGTAGGGCAGTTTTCACTCTCGCTGTTTTCCGCATTTTCTTCGATACCGGCTACCAGGAATCAGGAAAAGGCGCGACCCTTGTCTGTCCGGTCGCCTGTTGTGAGATAAAGCATTTAATACCGCTGTGAAGAACGAAAGATCGCTTCGCAATTTAAAATATTTAATATTATATAAATAGATTAAAAATAAATACTATCATTATGTTTATTCTAATAGATGTATTTCAATTTTACTTCGTAAATGAAATGAATAGAAAATATATAAGTATAAATAAAAAATCTTTTGTATTACTATAACACTATAAAATTAAAAGACTTTATTATAAATTTAAATATACTTAGACAACAATGTTTATATTACACGATTATAGCAAAAACTAAAAACAAAACTTACGGAAATAAAATACAAAAACTTTCACAAATATATGGTTCAACGTGCAATTTTAAACTAGTAGGCGCTTAGCGATCGATTTGTACGTGTGTATCTATCTATATTCGAACTTAATCAGTTACATAACCAATACAGGAACTGTTTTGTGTTCCCATAATTTCTTTATTTGGAATATCAGGAGATACGTAGCTCATTATAAAGACTTGGCTCAATTTGACTGGTTTTAAAAAACATTTTGGAAACGCCTAATATTTTATTTCCTAGAGATAATTCTCTAAAAAGCTACAAAAAAATGTCTTAAAAAATGACTTATAAGTATAATAACTTCTCGTCCGTGCATACATATCGTTTCGTCCTTAGATAGTGATTATGCTATGCTATAAGGAACCAAAGTAGGTTTATTAAGTAGCTTTGACTTCAATGAGATTAGTCTCCTTATTATAATGTTTAAGTTAAAAAAGCAAGGAAATCTGAAAACAAATAGGGAATGGCAAAAATGATGAAGTCCTGACTCCGACTTTTTAAGATTCCACAGATCCAATGAAACACAGAATCCTTATGTGATTTTAAACGTAAATGTCCGTTTGTCCACCAATTGTTAACCTATTTTTTCGATTTATTGAACTAAAAATGGCAAAAATACTTTGCTTAAATCTGTTATTTAATCTGGTGATCAAATTCAATAATTTAATCAAATAAAAATTAATTTTAAAAAAATATAAATTAAGACAGTCTTTTAGTATCTCATTACTATTCAGAATTATATCTTTATTTAACTGCCTCGGTGGTGTAGTGGCAAGCATGTACGGCTGCACACCCGGAGGTCCTGGGTTCTTTCTGTAAAAGTAAGCCTCAGTAACAGCCCGGAGTTGGGAAGTTGGCGGTGTTTCACCCCCGTGCCAGAGCATGTAAAGCCGTCGGTCTTGCGTCTTAACTCTCACTGGTTGTGTCGAGCAGTCGTCCCACCGGAGTATGAAAGTGACAAGAACAGAGAGTGCACGTTGTGTCTGCGCGTACACTTGTGAACTATAATATCTCCTGCGCATTTGGCTAGTTTCAATGAGATTGGCCGCTGTGGCCGGAATCGGTCAGGAGAACATCATCATCCTTATTTGGGACACTATCAGTTAGTGTTGATAAGAATATAGTCAAGCGCGAGTGGCATTCGCATACGAAGGGTACCAGATCATCGTACATGTACTTTTAATTAATATGACTTTTACTCTATGTATGCAGTACATTAATTTAGATGATCGATTACGAATGTTAAAAAAATGTTTTTGTATTTTTTTTATTATTTGCTGTTATAGCGGCAATAGAAATATATACTCTATGAAAATTTCAACTCTCTATCTATTACGGTTCATGAGATACCTATCTTCCTAGCCCTCTGACACATGTACAGACGGAGAGCGGAGGCATAGTAATAGGGTTCCGTTGACACCCTTCGGATACGGAACCCTAAAAACATATAAATAATGTGTACCACATTTTTAATATTATTGATAATTATATGTTACTTACGAATTGTAATTAAACTAGCCATTCTTATAACATTTAAAAATATTAACAAAATATTGACCAAATGTGTTTGCAAAATCGCAAACTCAACGCCTGTTGCTGTTTTAGTTCGTCAGGTACGTATAAAAATAGCAAAAAAGATATCTTCAATTCACTTTAAATAATAACAACAACACACAAGCAAATGTGAACCCCCTTTAATAACAGACTTCATGGCACAAAGAGCTCAGAATAATCTTTGTATATAATACAATATTCGATGTTAGTAATACAATTTTGGTCAAATAGTATCAAATTTTATGATAAACTTTCGTTGAAAATCTTCTGGTTAATTTGTATCGAGTAAGTTTTTTTTGCGTTTGGAAATGCATTTAGGCATACCACCCGCATACAGGTGGTTATATGGTACTCACCGGCTAGAAAAACCAGTACTACCCAATAAAACTGTACAGATCCTCTGTTATGGGTTCACTCATTAAAATAAAAGAATGTACAAATTTACAACACTATATTAGATTCTAAGGCTACACAAATCACAATTTACTAATAGGTACTAATAAAACTAACTAACTACAAGTAATACTTAACCTAGCTATTTACAAATTATAATAATGCTACTTAAATCTAAAGAATATGAAGGGCGCCAGGAGAGTTTTTTGGGGCTGCACAGCTGATCACAGCCTTTGCGTGGAACTCTGCCAAAACCTAGCCACGGCTATCCCAGTTTACAGGGATTCTTATTGGGATTGTATTCCAGCACCTTAAGGGCGTTACGTTAGGCTACAAATAGAAAATACACATATTGAGACATAATATGATAATATTGCATCATGCTGTGCCTAACGGTCAAATGAACTTATATGATACACTTACCCCTTTTGTGCACAATTATTCCCAAGGTATTTTACTTATATACTTCGTATTTCGTTACGGCAATGACTTAATTTAACGAAATAAATATTTCTTACTACGATTTTCAAAACGATCACAAATTGCATAAACTTAATCTTAAGGATGTGGACACCGAGCACACGTTCATCACGGCTCGCTCCTTGTACCGCAATCCACTATCTCATCTCATTCCTTTAGTAAAAAGGCACTTACCGACACGATAGCTAAAAATTAACAAAATCAAAAAAAGTAAACCGCGCGTGGGATTTGAACTCGTGTCGCATAGTACGTAACATTTAAACAGTAGCCGAACTCGCTGAGCTATCATAACTTAGTAAATTGAAATGAATTTACTGGTCATTATGTGTACTCATAACATTCCCTCAACCTACCAAAAAAAAATATATAAATTATTAAGTTTATTAATTTATGTTATTAATTAAACATACCTGGTTTATATAATTTTTTTTTCACTCCATAAGGGTTTCAAGTCTTTTGCATGCCAAACTCCTAGTGATTTCCCAAAAGCATTATTTAAATGATAAACATTTTCAGACCGTTTGTCTGTAATAATGGCCTTTTCATATTTTGGTGCCAGTTTAGCCATGAATTTATTTCTCGCATTAGAGAGAAATTTAGTTTTCTTCCATACTACATCCCCTACCTGAAACTTAGCTTCCTTATGATTTCTGTTATAAATTTCTAGACTTCTTTGATGTGACATTTCTAGCTTACGTTTAACTGTACTGTATATCATAGGTCGATTCTTCAGTTCTGTAAGATACTCATCGGTTTTAATTACAATAGGCTTCTGCGAAGTAAGGGGTAATGTTGTGGTGTTATGATTTATACCTGTCGGAATTGATGTATCTCTTCCAAAGAACAAGAAAGCTGGCGTAAATTGCGTTGTTTCATGAACTGCTGTCCTGATAGAATGTGCAAATTTCTGTAAGTGAACATCCCATTCATTGTGTTTTTTCGAGTTAACGAACGACGATATCATAGTGCCAATCACTCTATTTACTCGTTCTGTAGGGTTGCTTTGAGGGTGGTAGCTTGGCGTATACCAAATTTGACTATGATATTTATTGACTAGTTCCTTAAAAAAATGTGACTCAAACTGCTTGCCGTTATCACAAATTATAGCTTGGGGAATGCCAAATAGGAGAAATTGATTTTCCACTATCTCACAAATTTTATCCGCTTTACCATTTCTTAATGGAAATAATAATACAAATTTACTAAACATACAGGTTAGCACCAATAACATGGTATTTCCTCTCTTGCTTTTAGGAAAAGGACCCATTAAATCTAATGAAATTACTTGCCAAGGTCTTGTAACAGTTCTGTGTTTTCCCATGCGGCCATATGGTAACTCTTGCGATACTTTCATTTTTGCACAAACCTCACATTTTCCAACATGGTTCTTCACATCCTTCAACATATTAGGCCAAAAGTAATATTGCTTTATTTTAAATAATGTTTTCCGAACACCGAAGTGACCAGCCGTGGCGTCATCATGGCATTGTTTTAAAATTTGAGTCCGCAATGAATTTGGAATGTATAATTTCCAATCATTAGTTGGATCAGGATACTGTTTTAAACATATTTTCCTGTATAAAAGCCCATTATCAACTTTCCAAGCCGAGTCCTGTAAATCACTATTCAATATTTTAATTACTTTATTTTTATACCAGTCATCCTTATGCTTATCCATAATTTCTGTACTATTTATTTTCCTATCTATTATTGTATCTATTGACCTAGATAAGGCATCTGGTACTATATTTGATTTACCTGGTTTATGCACTACATCAAAACTAAATTGTTGCAATTTCATAGCCCATCTTGCTAGTCTACCATGCGGATCTTTCATTTTGTGTAGCATTTTAAGGGCACTATGATCTGTTATAACTGTAAAACTAACACCTTCGATATATGGTCTAAATTTTTCTATGGCAAAAACTATGCTCAAAAGCTCTCGTTCTGAAGTTGAATATAACTGTTCACGATCATTCAACTTTCTGCTTAGATATGCAATAGGTCGCTCCTCTTTATTAATAATTTGGCATAAAACAGCTCCAATTCCTTTGGTCGATGCATCACATTGTATCACAAATGGTTTGGTAAAATCTGGACATGAAATGACAGGTGTGGACGTAAGCAACGTCTTAAGTTTTAAAAACGCCTTTTCGGCTTCATCATTCCAGCAAAATCTTTTATTTTTCTTGCCTTTCGTCAGATTATGAAGAGGAGCAGCAACAATCGAGAAGTTTTTTACAAATCTTCTATACCAACTAGCGATTCCTATGAATCTCTTCAACTCTGTTAAATTTTTTGGTCTCGGGAAGTTCAATATAGCTGTGACTTTATCTGGATCAGTGCGTAAGCCATCTTTGTCTACAATATAACCCAAAAATCGTAAACTAGATCGAGCAAATTTACATTTCTCTACATTTATTGTCAGACCAGCATTTTTAAGTATATTCATGACTTGTTTTAAAATAATTAAATGTTCGTCAAAGGTTTCCGAACAAACTACGATGTCATCGAGGTAAGCCCAAACTTTTCCGTCTAAAACATGAAATAACATATCCATCAACCTTTGTTGTGTCTGTGAGGCGTTAACCAAGCCAAATGGCATAACTTTAAAGTGAAATAAGCCTCTTCCAGGTACAGCAAAAGCTGTTTTTTCTTTACTTGAGTCTTCCAACTGAATTTTTCAAAAGGCTGACTTTAAATCAAAAGTGCTTAGAAATTTCGCATTCCGTAAATTATCTATAATAGAAGCGACTCGTGGTAGTGGATAAGTATCTCTCTTAGTGACTTTGTTTAGCTGCCTACTATCCAAACAAAGCCTATTAGTACCATCTGCTTTTTTAACTAATACTATAGGGGAGCACCAGGGGCTATGTGACGGTTCTACCACATCTTTGCTTAACATGTCGTCAAGTTCACGTTCAATTTGCTTTTTAATTACAGGTGAAAAGTTGTACTGTTTTTGATAAATAGGTTTATTCGTACCTGTGTCAATCGTGTGTCTCAAAATTGTTGTTCTACCTAACCCCGTCCCTATATTATCACGGATTTCGTTAATAATAGCAGTTAGTCTTTCATGTTCATCTTTATTTAAGTCTTCTTTGCATATGATTGCTGAAGTCTCTTCCGAAATTGCATGAATCCTTTGCCGCTGTGAGGCATTATCCTGAAATTTAAATGATATGCCAAACAGATCAAAAAAATCTTTTCCCAAGATTAATGGTTGTGACAAGTTGGGCATCAACAGCATGGACATGATGTGAAATTGATTATTAAACTGTACTGGTACATCGTACAGCTTAGTAATGGAATGATTAGTACCGTCGGCAGTTGCCATAGAAAATGATTTAAGCCTGTGTGCGGATACACCCAGTCGCCTTAAGGTGTCAGCAAATTCAGAGTTTACTACTGTACGAGAAGCACCAGAATCTAATAAACCGTCACATTTAAAGTTCAATATATTAAGAGAAATATAAGGTCGGTTATCAAATTGTTTTTTAAATGTTAATTGGTATAATTTACCTCGTGACATAAAGTTGTGTACAAAAGCTAGACAGTCCTGCCAATCTTTGTTTTCTTGTTTAAGGGGAAAGATCACTTGGCAGGTTCCTGCCTCTCCCCTGTGGCGTTTCCCTTACAAATACAACTCGATGACGTTACACCGAAACGACCACACTTATAGCAAAATAAGCGCTGCTTAGGCATGGAGCATGACCGAAATAGGTGTCCAGTTTCCCTGCAATTCCAACATCTCATTTTATTACGGGTTGAATCTGGAATTTTATTTTTGATTTCTAAAATTTCTTTTGTTTCTTTTAAAGCCAACGTGGGTTTATAAGCTAAATCAGGTTCCAAAGAACTTATAATTGTCTTTGGCTCTTGAAAATTGTCACAATTGATCTTGGTTCTCTCGATAATTCTTAGAATATTAATTAAATCAGCAATAGAAGTAAAAATGTCTCTACATACTGCCCTCTGAAAATATGGCTGAAGATTTTTTACGATTATCATAATTTGTTCAGTCTCTGAAATTTTATTAGGGAGCCTGTTGAACAAATTCTGCATGACGGATACAAAGATTAGCACTCCTTCATTTTTACCTTGGGTCCTAGATTTAGCCTCCTTCTTCCTGGTAATGAGGAGACTGAAATGTACGTTTTAGTAGTATTACAAGTTCATTCCAATTATCAACATTCTGGCGATTTGCGCGAAACCAAATTAATGCATCACCTCTAAAGAAATCTATAGCATGCCTCCATAAATCATCATCAGTAGCATTTCTGGCGTCCTTAAGTTCATCTACACGCTCAAGAAAAGCATTAACACTGAAACTATTATCCCCAGAAAATTGTACACCCCATTGACTTATTGGAACTAGTTTTAATTTGCGAGTATAATTACCTTCATCAGCTGATGTAGAATTTAATAATTTATTAAAATTATTAGGACTGGGAAAAGTTTGAATATCTAACTCATCCTGTGCAAAACTAACTCTTTTATGACCAAAATGTTGCTTCTGCAATAAGAAATCCTCCCCTACTGTATTATCTTTAGAAGTAGAAGGAACATTACCTGACGAAGGGGCATCCTCTGCAATTACATTTAAAATTATTTTGCTATCTTCACCTAAGGAATTCTGTAATGCCTCTTTCATTTCCGGAGTTATATTGTCACCATCCTCTATGTCATCTTTATCTTCTAGGTCCTTCAACAATATAATGGCTTTGTCTAGGAGAGCTTTCTTTTTTTCCCTATCAATTTCTTCAATAGGCGCAATAAATTTTAATCTATTTACTATATGAACTAAGCGTGACACTAAGCGTTTGTAAAGTTGTTTGTCAGGTTTTTCCTGCAATTCGGAGATATAACACAAGATATTACTAATTTTATCTGAACATATACCTAATTCTATACTAGGAGTAGCTAAACATGACGGTGGAGGCTTAATTTCATAAGAAACTTGCAATAAATTTTCAGCGTGCATCATCTTTTTAAGAATTTTCTTTAGTGCCGAAACTAAGCTCCCTGGTTTAGTGAACCCACGACATGCGAGTTCAAATTCCACCTCATCTTTTAATAAAAACTGTGGATCCATCTTAAAACGGTAAACCTACAAAACAAATCAACACTAATATGCCCTGAGAGAAATTGTGCACCAAAATTGTAAGATGATATGTAAAAATAAATAAATATAAATTAAACAATCAACCAACAAATTAATATAAGTACTAAAATCCAAAATTTTATAACCAACACTAATTTTACTATTTCAAAGTATAAAAATATTAAAATATTTCAACCTTATATCCTATAAATTAAGATTTCTCATCAAAATATAAAAGAATTAATTTGGGTTGTCTTCTTAATGTTTCTTACCTACTATAAAACCTGTGCTAACAAAAATGTATGTAAGATTTAAGAAATAATTACTTACTATATGAGCTTGGTACTAATCTAATACAAAAATAACAAAAAATTATTACTAGGAGTAACTATATGAGAAAATGTGTCCTAGTTCTATCACTACAAATTATTACAAAAAAAAAATAACTTATTACACTAACCTTCTAATAAAATAGTAACATATAAGGAATATCGAAAAAAGGAAAAAAAACATATACATAAAATTTTCTCTAATATTCAAATAATACTTTAACTACTTACCTAATTAAAGTTACACATAATATGAACATAAAATATTACAAACAAAAATTTCATTCTAAATATCCTAATTAACAAAGAAACATATTTTACAAAATGAGGGTGGACAAAACATGCGTATCATTATATAGGTAATAGTGACGAGGTACAATGCAATTTGTTTAAATAAGTATTATTAACCCATAAATTTTATCGTTGGGCGCCATTTTGTTATGGGTTCACTCATTAAAATAAAAGAATGTACAAATTTACAACACTATATTAGATTCTAAGGCTACACAAATCACAATTTACTAATAGGTACTAATAAAACTAACTAACTACAAGTAATACTTAACCTAGCTATTTACAAATTATAATAATGCTACTTAAATCTAAAGAATATGAAGGGCGCCAGGAGAGTTTTTTGGGGCTGCACAGCTGATCACAGCCTTTGCGTGGAACTCTGCCAAAACCTAGCCACGGCTATCCCAGTTTACAGGGATTCTTATTGGGATTGTATTCCAGCACCTTAAGGGCGTTACGTTAGGCTACAAATAGAAAATACACATATTGAGACATAATATGATAATATTGCATCATGCTGTGCCTAACGGTCAAATGAACTTATATGATACACTTACCCCTTTTGTGCACAATTATTCCCAAGGTATTTTACTTATATACTTCGTATTTCGTTACGGCAATGACTTAATTTAACGAAATAAATATTTCTTACTACGATTTTCAAAACGATCACAAATTGCATAAACTTAATCTTAAGGATGTGGACACCGAACACACGTTCATCACGGCTCGCTTCTTGTACCGCAATCCCCTATCTCATGTCATTCCTTTAGTAAAAAGACACTTACCGACACGATAGCTAAAAATTAACAAAATCAAAAAAAGTAAACCGCGCGTGGGATTTGAACTCGTGTCGCATAGTACGTAACATTTGAACTGTAGCCGAACTCGCTGAGCTATCATAACTTAGTAAATTGAAATGAATTTACTGGTCATTATGTGTACTCATAACACCTCTCCTGTCTTAAGGATTTAACCGGTTAAAGAACGTAACCGAATCCTTAAACCGATGAGCCTTTCGGTTTAGGGTCAATGATTAAAACCGGCTTAAAAATTATATGGGTTTCCGAGCCCTGGCCATTAGGACGGAAGAAACTGCTCCTGCGCAATTTGAAGGGCAGCCATAACAGTTTCCTAAATATAATTGTCATCAAATATGATTACCTCTTATGTATAACTTAATTAAAATAAACCTTAGTAGAAGTATTGTGGTTTACTAAAAACACATTATATTTGGATATTTTCTGAAATAAATTATAAATATTATTAAAATTTAAATTTAGCATGAATTACAAAGAGTAAAGTTGGAGAGAATAAAACTATTCAAAATATTCTAAACTAGCGGCTCACCCTCGCTTCGCTCGGGTTCGCCTCTAGAAAAACGCTGGTAGAGATCTATTAGTTCCCACGGGAACCGTTAATTTTTCCGGGATGAAAAATAACCTGTTGTTCGATCGGCAATATACGGTATCAGAATGTTAAATTTTACTAAATTAGGTGCATAAGTTGTTGTGTACTAAGCTGTATAAGATACTATAGTTTTTTAACTATCCCATGGGAACTATTTAATTTTCTGGGATAAAAAGTATCTAAGATGTTGACCGGGGATATAAGATACCACCATGCAAAATTTTATTTAAATCGGTCCAATAGATTCGGAGATTAGCCCGTACAAACAGACATACAGACAGAGAAACAAAAAATTTGAAAAAAATCTGGATTTGTTCTATTTGTCTTCTTACATCCCCCTGACTCGGTTTTTAGCATTTTTTTGTTATGTACAGACATTCGACCTCTACTGTTTTATTATAGTATTCAATTGACCTAACATTATAAAAAAAGGTTGAAATTCAAATGCAACTTGTACTCTGTAGTTTCGTCTCGATACAATCATATTTATACTAATCAAGGCCCTTCGGCGAGGAACACTAAAAGTAGTGATTCATTTCCACTACGCTATCTAGTGTGCCTTACTACATATGTATAAGAAATCGAATGTAAATAATTATCTTATTAATTCGGACAATACATTTTATATGGATAATTAATAATGTTATTTTTTCAAGAAACATTTATTATTATAATATTTGGGGCGGAGTTTTGGAAATGTCTAGGAGTTAGGTAATATAAACATAGGTCCCTGGAATTAATCTCGATGATATCTCAATAATAATAACAGAGATTTAAATTTATTTATTATTAATATTATTTTTATTAATCATATAAGTAGAAATAACAAACAAAATAGGTAACTAAAAATTATAATAACATTTTTCTCTTAATTAACTACAAATATTGCACTTCAAAACAGCCAATTAGCTGATAATACGATATTCCGTAGTATCTTACAATTAAATACTACAGTTCTTATGAACGGAACTAAGATTCAATAAATATTTACCCACCTGAAATCTATTGGAGTTGCCAAAAGAAAATTAATATAAAATCTGCAATTTACTCCCAAGATTTTTGTATTTTTAATAATACTTTTAATAATATAAGTAGATAAATTTAATTTTTCAATTATAACAATTGACTCTATCATTATGACTTTTTCATATTTATTTCAATTTCGTTAACTATACACTATTGTTGTTATCATTTTTTCCTATTTTAAATATAATTTAAAAAAAATCACTCAGTACATTGCAACGCTTAAATAAAATTTACACTATATTAAAACAAAATTACGACGATTTCTTCTTTTCACTTCTATCGTTTTGTTTTCTGGCTGTTACTCTGGTTGAGCGAGCTTCTTGTTTATTATCTTGCTTGACCATCCTTTTTGGATGTGTGTGATAATTTCTGGGATAAGATGGTTTACTTGCAACTTGACCTGTGTATTGGCTTGCTGCGTATTCACTTTCAGGATTGTAATTCGCGTACTGACCAGCTTGGTTATAATGCATTGAATGAGAATTAACGTATGATACTTTTTCACTGGACGGATGCTTAAGTACTGTTTGGGGTACCATTACTCTATATTGAGACTGATATTTTGCAGATGGCATAGGAGTTACATAAGTAACTGTTTGTACACTTGATTGCGCTGGTTTTCCTGTGGATTTATAAGAGTATGGTAAAACAGTAGCAATTGTATGATCTTTACTAGGATAATTTTCAGAGAGTGCCAACGATTGGCTCGAATCTTGATTTGCTCGACTTTGGTAGATGTAGCTCTGTGGTACGTTAGAATTTATAGGTTCTTGATATTGCTCGCTATGAATTAAATTGGATGGTACAACTGATACTGTATTTGTCTGAGCTGGTTTAGTTGAATAGTATTCAGAAGATTGTGAATTATATGCAGAAGATTGTGAATTATATGCAGGAGACGCAGATTCATATTCAGATGAAATCACTTGTTTTAAATAATCAATATTTTCTTTATTAATGTCATAAGCTTCAGGGCTGGCAGTTACATATTGAGATAAATCTGGTTGAGAAGTTACTTGGGGTGAATTTGGTAATTCATAATTCACTGCCACTTCTTGAGCTTGTTGACCGCTAGAATATTGTGGTGCTTCATATTGAACATTTGATGAAGTATCTTCTACGCTTGAATGATTTTCAACATTAGATTGATCATTCTGGTACTCACTTGCAACAGCCCCCGATTGTGACTCATGTTGATACTGTGGTTGAATATAATACGCTTGCATTTTTACCTCTGTTTGTGGGACATACTTATATTCGTACTCATACTGTTGTTCAGTAGGACGTTGATATAAAGATTGAGGTTGCTGTACCAAATATTTTTGTTGGTTGCTAATGGTGGGATATCTTGCCATAACTGGTTTAACAGCTGAATATTGAACTCCAGAATAATCTGCTTGTGTGTATGTAGGTCTGACATAAGGATTAGAATAATGTTGTGGTACCGATTCTGATTGTACATTTGAATTTTGATTATACATTATTTGCGGCGCAAATGGATATCCATTTTTCTTAAAATATTGATTAACTAACTCTTGAAGATTTACGCTATTCAAATGTTGAGATAAGGGATAATTCTGAGGTAAATTGGGATAAAGCTCAGCTGTGGGATTTTTTAAGTAGGAGCTGGGTACTCTAAGAACCAATACCGGTACTATTCTTTGATTCTGATTTAAATATGAATTTTGGGTGCGTAAATGATCTTGTGTTAATCCAGCGTTCTGATAATGAGGGTTTTTTAGAAGTTGTGAAGCGTCCACAAAATAATTAGGCATAACAGAAGGAAATTGTCCACTCAAACCAGAAAACTCCTGTCCATTATACGTAGTGTATAAAGTGTGTGCAGCATTCTCACTTGCGTGTGATTGAGAAGAAGCTTCTAAAGCTTTTTCATAGTTAGTTTTAAATTCAATTGATGGCTTATTATAAGTATAGGATGATTCCTCATTCTTTACAGGTACTAATTCATAAGCTTGTGACGGTTGTATTTCAACGCTAGATGCATGCGCGTTTGAGTATTTGTTATTTGAGTATGAACTGTACTTAGAACCTTGATTTATGTTTGAGGCTGGAATGTCTTCTTGTGAATAAGGATATATCATAAATTTTCCTTTGTCCTGATTAGATTTTCCAAAATATGTGTAACTGTATCCATTATTTGTTCTATATCCATAACCGAGATTAGCATCAATTGTTCGCTTGTCTTTCGATTTCGAATCTGTGTCATTGACAATCTCAATTGCGATAACAGCTGGAAATGAAGGTTTCTGTATTGTAGGAACATCTTTACTGTCTTTTTCTACATCTGATTTACTTTCTCCTTTCTCTTCTTTCTTACTATTAATAGGCACTTCAGATTTGACGCCAAATTTTTCCTCGACCTCTCTCAAAAAGTTTTTTTCATCAGTCGTCAAAGTTTCTGATTTCTTATCTTTTTCGACAGATTCATTTTTATATTTTTTTGGTTCTGGATCTGCTAGTACTGATACCATCACCACGCAGAAACACAACTGAAATAAGAAAATTTCTTCTATTAATTTTTATCAAAATAATATATTAATTATCAATCACAATGTGCATAAAAAATCTTTAAAAACGTCAATAATTTTAATTTTTACGTAAATGGCTGAAAAATATCATGATAGATATCGCAATTTACTTGATAATATCACCACAGCTATAAATAATTAAGATTCTCAATGAAAGCTTTATGTATTAAATTTCTCCTAACAGTAATCATAACATTAAATTTCTTCAATACGAAGCCCGCCCCTAGCTTTTCACGACCTTTCTTGACATGCAGCATAAATTATTAACATAAGTTCTTTTCTCTATTACATCATGAATAATTAACGGAGATGACATAATAAATATATTAAAACCAAATATTTTGTATTCATTTATGCAGTTAATGTTCCAATAACATACTCGTATTATTTTCGAACGTTTACGTCAGAACTATAATGTACTAATTTTATCAACTAACCTATAGTCATAAAAGCATATATTTTGCTCTACAACTTTTACACATAAAACTACTCACTGACTAAAAGTCAAATTCTTTAACGAATTGCAAAAAAAAGGGTTGAAGGAACTAGATTTTACTACATTCAGTGTATGATTATAACAATATAATTTTTACGACATTTTTACAGTACTCTTGCATGATTCAGTTACCAATTAAACGTCTGAATAGCACACATGACACAATCACACAACTCACATCATATCACCTAGCAAGCTTTCGCCAGAATGTGAAGAAATTGTTATAATCAGACTGCACGCATGCAAAGATGAGGCACATTACGTGTCGTTGAAATAATGTGAGAAGAAAACAAGATTTAGCAGATTAAATCGATATAATATAAGAAGAAAGTGAAATCAGCATCTAGTCATCCAGTGCGATTACAAAATAACTATAAACATTTCCTACCCCATGGTCCTGATTTGCTCTGCGAGGTACAAATATACGAGTATAACCATTAAATGACATAAATATTTGTACATTACCCAACTTCTTTATACCTGAATAAGTTCAATTACAATGTGTTCAATAAAAATTAAATATACCAACAGTTATGTGGCACTCAAATTTTAATTTTACTGTATAAAATCCCACGTTTTCCGAATTAATTATCAATCCGTACCTCTGACACTTGAAGTAATAATTCATATCTCATTGAAAGTAAAGGGGGCTGATGTTTTACTATACTCACTGACAAAACAATACTCCATTACATCTAGACAATTACTAGTTAATACGCATTCAAATTATAAAATAACCTGTTCTTAATTGCGTGTGCGCAATCATGATGACTTGTAAAGAAATTTTGAATCTTATCCAGGTCATATTAAACTATTACTTATTGGCGTTGAAGATTGCTTCGCACTTGTGAGAGAGCTTGAGAAGTTACAAAACACTCGTAAAGAACTTGGTCAATATTAAATCGAAGATGTTGCCATTTCTATTGTGAAATAATTTACTGACCGAATGACAGTTTACTAATAGGTTTATATTATTACCTATCAATATCGATAAAATCATTTACCCACTTCGTTTATACAGCAAATAAATAGTTACATGCTAAAGAACAATAAGCTTTTGACATCATTATTAATTTCCATTTTCTTGTATGTACATAAAATATGCACCGATGCCGATAATTAAATTTTGATCATGGACAATGGAATTTTACTTGTTTTTTCATATTTTTTATATAAGATGAATAAAGTTTTAGATTATATCTTTATAAAAACCCTACCCTACCCGATTTTAAATTGAATTTTGAATTTTTGCATGGAAATAAATAAAATACCCCATGACGTAAATACAAACATTTATTATTTCAATAAATTAAATTAAATAGATAAATTAGACACGTAAACCTAACATCTATATATCTATACGTATAATAAAATTGGAACTAAGCCGAATCTGTACATTAGATATTTTTTGGAAAATCTTATTGAAATAAACATTATTATCGATACAGAGGCCGAAGTCTGTTACCGCATCACAGAAAAACCACCAAAGGGGTTTTGATGGAATTTGGTATGGTGATAGCTGATTATCCGGGTCAACATAAGACGCCTTTTACTGCGGGAAAATATCTAATTTTAGAGAAAAAATACAAAAACAGCAATGTAAGAATATACTAATATGTAAAACCTAAGAATTTGGTTTTTGGTCATCTGAACGCTAGCGGAGCCGCGGGCAATGCTAGTTACATATATTTAGATGAAAGTTTATCTCTTGTGCAAAATAAGTTACATAAATCACGTAAAGGCATAATGATATGAATTCTCATAGATAAATTAGGAATATCCCGCATAAAGTCTTAAGGTTGAGTTTCGTTCACTAAATAAACAAATAATTATCATTACAAATACCAGTGAAACGCGAATTACGCAACGTTCATAAATTTGAATAAAGATAGATGTAATCATGATACTATACAAGATTTTACAGATCGCTTAATAAATGTCTTATTAAAACTTTATTATATACTAGCGACTGACCTTCGCTTCGCTCGGGTTCGTCCCTAGCTTAATTCCCCATACAAATTTTCATCCCCATTTTCACCCCCTTCATGGATTCTTTCCGGGATAAAAAAGTATCCTATGTCCTTCCCAGGGTATCAAACTATCTTACTAAATTTCATCTAAATCGGTTCAGTAGATCCAGAGATTACCCACTACAACGTCACAAACTCACAAACTTTACCTTTTTATAATATTAGTATAGAAAACTATAGCTAGTGCAAAAGTTACTGACTTTTATAATAATTATTCTTAAAAGTAAAAATTTAACTTTACTATTAGTTACGCATTATTTTGTTTTTGCACACGTATTTATATAAAATCGATAAAGTGCGAGTCAAATTCGCACACGAAGGATTGCGTACCATCGTACATATAATTTATATAATATAGGTAATATATAATACTATATTAACTTCGATGATCGATTACGAACGTTAAAAAAGTGTTATATTTTTATTTATTTTTATTATTTGTTATTACAGCGGCAATAGACTCTATGAAAACTTCAACTCTCTACCTATTAAGGTTCATGGGATACAGCCGACAGACAGACAGACAGAAGGACGAACGGATGGACGGACGGACAGCGGAGGCTTAGTAATAGGGTTCCGTTAGCATCCTTCGGGTGCGAAACCCTAAACACTAATTATAAAGTTAACTATATGAATATATGTTGATGGTGACAATAATAAGTATATTATTCTTTATACATACCTATATTTTCTATGTGTACATTGCAAAGTTTTGCTTTACGTTCGTAAATTATTTGGTTTCATATTGTATACTTAGCATTTGTGTTAATTTTTTTGTATTGTGAATTGTGATGAATAGTGATTTATTTTCTCGTGACTAAATCCAATTTAATTATCTGTTGGTAGATTCCTATAATTACAGCCATAACAGTAACTCATTGATTAATCTCACTACATAATATTATGCAAATAGCTATCCACATTCACATTGTCATCAAGAAGAAATTGGTCAACGACACGAATTGTATAAATAATTTCAAGATGCTAAATTATAGCACAGATGACAATAATCTGGAATTGTACCGCAGCGATTCGTTTTTAATAATTAAAATTATAATTTTAACGATAATCCAATTTGTATTTACAATGTATTGAAAAACTTGAAAAAATTAATAAAGAGTTTAAAAAATTATATTGCTTATACTTTATTCAGCTGAATAACTATTAACTTAGATGTTCATTTTGGATTTGTGAAACATTTACGTTACGTTTCTTTCTCTATATACTAAATATACCTATAGCCAGTAAAAAGAGAAATATCTTGATGGTAGCAGTCTTCAATTTCGCGCTTAATTTAAAAATTCTTTTCTGAAAGAATTAAACCTACTGTATATTTATAAATATTTATAAAAGCTTCAAAACAAATCTATACAGATATATTAATAAAATTATTAGTGTCTGTTTATAATGTCAAAAAACAGCTTTTTACTAAATGTATATGAAAGTATATACGATACTAACAAGAAAAAACGATGTTTAATTTTTTTGTCTGTCTGTCTGTCCGTTTGTTCCGGCTAATCTCCGAAACGGCTCGACCGATTTTGACGAGACTTCCACTAGCATATAGCTGATGTTATGAGAAGTAGCTTGGCTACTTTATTTTAGAAAAAGAATCAGGGTTCCGCGCAAAAAAATTAATACCCATGAAGTTGTGAACAAAATTGCACATAGGGACGCTCCCGAGCGAAGCGAGGGTTAGTAGTAAGTCGTAAGTAAGAGTATATATAACATATTTATAACTATTTCATGCACAGCAAAGATAATTAATCGAATTAATGTTTTATTTTTTTACTAAAATGATATGTTTGCAAATTAAAAAAAAAACAATATACTTTGTAATAATACTAATAGTTCTGTGTTGTAGACACAGAACAAATAAAATAACAAAGCCCTAGAGAATTTGCAATTACAGTGCATACTAAAATCTAGGTAGCAGGCAGTCTCGATCAATTGCCAAGCACCGTTACTTTTCCGTTATGTCCTTTTATCAATATATATGGGAGCAATACATTTTGTAATAAATTAATAGTATTTTTTTAAACAAGCTTTTATTTAAATGCTCTAGCTTAAAGAAGAAAACAAACTTTAAATTAAATCAAACCTAACAATTTATTACATTACAAAATTTATCTATATTAATATTATAATCTATACTAATATTATAAATGTGAAAATTTGTGAGTATGTATGGATGTTTGTTACTCTTTCACGCCATAACGGCTGAACGGATCTGGATGAAAGGCACAGAGGTAGATTATAGTTTGGAATAACACAAAGGCTACTTTTTATCCCGGAAAAGTGTACGGTACCCGTGGGATAGATTTGTTTCGCTAGTGTAATACAAAAGCTAGTCGCAAAATTTACTTATTTTAAATAATTTATCCTTGTTTATCTACATAGGTAAACCTACGTTTTTC